TTTTGACCTGGGAACTGAGTTAACTGAATACGAGTGTCAGAGTGTGTCAAACCATGTTTCTAAGGGCGCTTCATGTGCAGGGGGCCACCAGTGGTGGATGGCCACCGAAGAGGCCACTGGTGAGGGCTGTAAACGCAGAGTTACGGCAGCTGCGCTGTCGCAGGAGAGTTTGAACATTTGCCAACATTTCAAGTACTGTTGCCGACTCAACCGCCTTGCGTTTCCCTCATTCCTTTCCTTGTGGATTACGGCACTGGATGAACCTGTGACTAAATGTGCGCGTGTCTCTCAGGTTGTGCCAAGCAAATACCCGCACACTGCACGTCCCCAGTGACCCTTCAGACCTGTTTGCCCCGTTTGCGCAGCGGAGCTTCGGTTCCGGCGGGAACCGCGGTGGTTCGCGGTGGACCGAGGTTCATTCGGAAAGCCAATCAAGCACAAGGCGCTTCCAATATCAGAGTGAACCAGGTTTGAAGCTGGCCAATAGCAGCGCCAATTCCAAGCCAACTTAACTGTTCTTTTTTGCATGGTGCACGTTGGCTTGATTGCCATCCGACATGCCAAAACTAAGGATGTTTGAATGGTTTGATGCTACTTTTTATAGGGTGATGGAACTACGTCATGAGCATTGCCACTGATGAGGACCTTATAAGGAGTCCGGGAGTGAGTCCGGGATAGCAAAAAATATACATATATACATTAAGTAATATTATATACATCAATATACCTTTTTTTACCGAAGAATTGAGGAGCTATGGAGTCTAGAGGGGGATGCAGCTAGTTCCCTACTTTGTTTTAGTCTAGTTGCACCCCCCGTCCCGTCCTCCCCTTTTTGTGCACTCCACCCTTTGCCCTGTGCCGAACACCACCGTGAACACCACCGTCTTCAGACCACGCTCACGAATTGGACCGACCACGCGAGAACGCACCCCGGCAAGAATCCACGAACATCCACCGGACCCAGAAAAATAGTTAGTTTATATAATGTAACAATATATGTTTTTCCTTCAGAACTGCATCAGTTTGCACACTTGGGGAAATCCCTGCAACTGGGTGAAGATTCTGGATTGTTGCCGGCTTGCGACACCAGCAAATCCAAGGCTTTCGGATACTGTAGGTGACTGGAGAGTTCTTGCGCTTCGCACATGGTCAATTCGTCAGAGGGCAGGACCATCCTTTGTTGTGTCCGACTACCCGGCCGGGATCTGAAGTATTTATTTGGAGGGCACTTGAAACGGATGGATCCGGTCATTGGCCAACTTGCATTTCACCTATTTCACCCGTGACCCAGACTGCTAAGAGATGTTCTGAGCACACTCTCCAAGTTGGCTTGGCCACCCCAAAACATATAGCGTAATACTCCCATTCTACGCGGCCGCCCTCGCTCCGTGCGCCTTTGCAGATCCCGATGCCATGGAGCAAATCGTGACCAGCACCACTCCGGCCACGTCCGAGTGCCCGGCGCACGCTCGCGCGACATGGAGTAAGGGGTTGGGTCAACCAACAGCGGAATTTGTTTTCTTGGACAGGTCCTTTTGAGAATGTGTGCGTTTGGGGGCGGCCATTTGCCCCCGCACTTTGTGCATCTAGGTCGTTTTGCATTGGAACCATGCTATTTTTCTGCTTCTTCAAAAATCCTCAACCGCAAAAGTGTTTGGTTCGGGTCAGGAACCATGCCACACTGAGGGGTTGGTCATGGTTGGTCCGGCGTTTCGGTGGAAAGGGATTGTCCAGATTTTTGGATCGGCTGAGTCGTGTAAACACAATCACCCCAACACTACCCAGTTCTTGGCTGCCAGGTCTAGCATGGTCTAGCATGCTTCAGCCCCCTAACTGATGCATCTCCAGTTTGTAGAGGATTAGTAGTAGTGACCCTTTTTTTGTCCACCTTCCCCAATGCTGTCAGTCTAGACGACGACCCTCACCGGTCCTCGTGCATCTTTTGAGGGCCAATTCGCACGCCTTCGCACGCCCGCAACGCGTCGCCCGCCGCCGTCGTCAGCGCCCGCAGCGAGGCTCTTCGTGCGGAGGGGCGATCAGATGATCCGAAGAGGGGCAAGGCGAAGCGCGCACCGGTGCACGTGGGGTTCAGCGACGTGGGGTTCAGCGACTCAGCGACGTGGGGTTCAGCGACTCAGCGCGTCGGGTTCAGCGACGTAGCGGCGTGGGGTGGTTCACGGTGTTCCGCGCGGTTCGTAGTCGTGCGTCGTGTGGTAGAAAAAGGGATGATCATATGGCTTTGAACCGGGGATCGGCCGTGGTATGGAACCAGGGATTCCTTTTGGCCTAATTATGGTTTTGAATTCATTTGGATCCGAAGGCTCAGACATGCTCAGGCTCCGACCATGACATGAAGGTCTGTAGATCACGGCTTTGAGGAGTGCCCATTCTAATTGTTTGTTTTCGCAGCGGGTTCTGCATGTGAAGCAGCCTTTGAGGAATGCCTATCGCCTGGTAGGATTCCGGTAGGCATGGTCGATGACTTTCGGAATAGGGACCTTTTGTCTATAAGTTCCGAGACACCTGGAAACCCAAACCAGAAGCGACATTGAGGGACTCTATCTGTTCATCACTGTTCGTGTTTAGTGGCGTGCTTAGTTCGCGCAAGCAAAACTTTTGGTGTGCGCAAGGAAACTTACGTCAGCTTTTTGAGGGAGAAAGGAGTTGCGTAGTGACTGCGGTGTGGTGCTAAAATTCATTGGCGTAAGTGTTGCGTATAAGCTGCCATTGTGCTTGCATAGGTTTGCCAAGCTGTTGAAAGCCTCTCACTGTTTTCCCAAACAGCCAAACAGCCACTTTGTACTGTAGAGGATCTATGAGGATCTGCATGACATTGCATGACCAGAATGGCAACACCATTGATTTCTGGTTTGGTTTGTTTCCATCTCGTGATCTCCTTCGCTTGTGCCAGGTAGTGGGGACTGCCAGGTTGGTCGGGGATCTTGGAACAAGCACCGCCGCCGGCAGCAGCAGGGAGGTCTCTCCACCCTGATCTGTGTAGTGTAGTGGTACCACGTGATGCCGATCACAGCCGCTACAGTGGACCATCTGAAAAACCGAGAACAAAACAAAGAAATACCAGGGGCCCCCCAAAAAAAACATCAAAGACCGGGTTCTTTCCACAACACAGAACATGGTTCTCCTATGTTAAAACCTGTTCTTTTTAAAGTGGGTTTCAGGGCCGTTGGTGCTTGGGGAGGGGAGTTGGGAGTTCAGGTGGACACCCCAAGATGAACAGCTCGAGAGTTCGCTCGCTCCGGAACCTCTCCAATCCCAAAGGCGGACTGGCGACGGCGTAGGACTGGAAGTCGACAACAGAGTGGGAATCGATGGAAACTGCTGAACAACATGAAGCAGCAGCTTGCATGCAACCGTGAAGTCCACGCATGAAGGAGTGATATCAAAGCCAGTGTATCAGGTGAAGGGTTCTCATGTACTTCTATCTTGATGAAGGCACACATGAGGCAGGAGGGATATTTGTTGAACTGAAGGGGTGCCCCCCCGCAAACTAACATGGAACCTGAGAATTGACCCTTGGAAGATCATGTTCCTCTACAACCCAGTGGTTTTGGGGTTCCATGTGGTCCGAATAGCAGGGGAGTAAATATGTTGTTTCTGATCCTGTTGACTTCATGAGTTCATCGTTTAGGAGGTGTTCCTTCTTCCAAGCGTTGGCGGTCCAAGTGGGCACCAGGGTCCAGGAAGTGGTACATCGGGGATCGGAGGCCGAAGAAACGAAGGGATCGTCTGAAGGCGTTCGCCCGAAGACCAGGTCCCAGGCCCTGGAATTCTAGAGCCCAGACGCGACCCTGGACTCTCCTAAATAGGAGCCATATATATATGGAGGGGTCCGGACCCTCAAATCCCTAGGTTTTGAGGGACCTATCGGGCTGTGAACGGAGCGTCTGCGAGGAACGGCACCGGAATTGTCCCACTTCCATGTCATGGGTTCGGACCTGACATTTCAGCTGCAACGATGCGCAGGCAGCTCAAAAGCTAGCAGCGACCAACGCGCAGAACTTGAGAAGGATAAAGTCGGTTAGACGGACCAACGACCAAGCAGAGCTTTGGAGACTGTGAGATGTGCTGGAAGTAGGTTGTATACATAATTTTACACCAAAATTGTGCGGTGTTGGGAGGCTCTTGAGCTAAACATAATTAAACATTAAGCTTATATACAAGCCCGGTCGAACATGCGAAAAGCAGCAGTCAGCTTTTTCTCCAGATGTGCAGTCTGGAGTCCAGAATTGCAATCAAGAGTGGATAACCTTTAGCTCTTTTTTGGGGAGTGGTTTCCCCACTAAACAAGAAAGGGTTACTTGATTTTTCAGGGAAACGGCTCAGCAGTCCGTACCACCTTTCGCGCTTCCCCGCATCGGTATTTTTAAAGAGGGTTTCCCTGGATCATTCCGATGGAAGCCTGGGGAAGACCGCTTTTTTGAACCGACCATTGACCCGACTTCACAGGTGCTTCCTGTGTTTCCAAGTCCGGTGCCCAGGTTCACCACCTGTGGTCGGGTCTCCAAACAGCCTGGCCAGGAGGGTCCTGGTATAAGGATATGAAATAATTAGTTTAATTATCCCTCTTCCACGCATTCTTTGGGCTTCCACCTTCCGCACCATTTTCAGAAACCGGACACTCCATGTTCCAACCCGTGGTGATTCACCGCCTTGGACCGCCGGAGTCCGCGGAGTCAGCCATGGCGAGTCCCAGTCCAGAGCCTCTCGTGACCGTGCAGATGTGCAGTCCCAGTGGCGAGGCGCACCGAACCGAACCGACCGGACCGATCGCGCGAGAGCGTCCGCTGAATCCAACGGAAGACTGCGGAACAGACGGACGGAAGACGGTGGGAGCGCCGTCCGAACGGGCGTTTTCGGGAGCGCCGTCCGAAGGGTCTTTCTATCTTCTTTTGGGAGTGGAAGAGGCGTTGTCATTGTCCGTCTTGACAGTTGTGTTGCAGGGAAACGCCTTGGAATTCCTTATCTAGATCTTATATCCATGTGCATGGGTCACAATGCAAGATTAAACAATAAATGAGCATGTGGATAGGAACCAACTCTGTTTCCAATGAACATCTCACAGGTCAGTTGATGACTTTGGCACCACTTGGAGCGATGTTCCCATTGCAGTTGTAAATGGGTGCAGTAACACCAGGTCAATGACATGCTTGGCCAACGACCCCGTATTGGCCAATTCATCCGACGTTTCGAAGTGACGGACGAACTCTTTCACCGCGAAAACCCGTGGGTTCGACACCGCCAGGTGCTGGCCGCTGAGAATCTCCCAGTCGCTTCGATCGAGAAGACCGGCACCAAACACGACCGAGTCGGACCGAGTCCAGAGTCCAGAGTCCTGACCCGCGGGTCGGATTTCGGATGTCCGGCCATTGTTTCGGAAGCGAAGCGCAGGGACGTCCAAGGTTTCAGATGGTCACTTAGGTTCTAGGTATGAACATCAGCACACCCACTGAGGAGGTTCAAAAGATCAGAATACGCTTCCCATGCATGCGTTTGGGAGGGGCCGTGCAAAGATGGATACCAAGAATGTATGAGGAATCCACATCAGAACCACGTCAGATAGTTGGAGTGGATGCGTTCGAGACGTTACAATACCAGATGCCAACATCCACATGGGCCGGTCAAAACAACCCCCTGATCGAGGGCAAAAATCGTCAGGAGATGCCGGATGCAGTGTTTAAGGGTTGAGCTGACGACCCCCAGTGGATGCCAGTTAGCCAGCACATCAGGAAGCAAGGTTTCGGTCGGTCTCCGAATGTCTATGTCATGGGTTCTATATATATATATATATAGTCAGTATATATGTCAGTATAAGATTCGCTTAACCGTGAGCTCTACGTGCTATAGTGGTAGGATGTTGATGTTCAAGGAAGATGTTTGATGTGCTGCTTCGCGGCAACAAGCTGCCCACTACCAAAGTGAATGGCTTGCAACACCTTTTCGGGGGATTGGTTCAAGCCCACTACCAAAGAAGAGGTGGGCAGTTCGGTTCACTTGTCATCCCCTCCCCCCAGTCATCACCCCCTGCTGAGCATGGAGGGGCGGGTCCGTCTGGACCGGGTGACCTACAGCATGACCTACATTCACCAGCCAAAGCCATTCATTCATGTAGGCCATAAACCTCCCAACCACCAAAAACACAAACACCCACCAAATATATCCCGACAAGTCCAAAGACTCAGTAAAACCTGGTCTTTTACCTCCTTGAGTAGTCTTTTTGTATGACCAACTCCAGTAAAATGAGGTAATTGACCTGTAGGGTAAAAATCCCTTCACCTCCAATGTGTATACTGACATTGGCTTATACATCATGTGTACCTCCCCAACCGACCCGTCCAGGTGCAAGGTCCAGCGGCAGAGGCCATCCGCACGGCGCTGGCGGCCGCGAAGAAGCGCGCCAAAGGCCAGACCAAGAGAGGTGGAGTGACCATAAATAGGATCCGTAACCTGGGGTACCGAACTGGCATAGTCTAGTTTGGGTCCTTCAACCTCAGTTGGTTGGGCAATGTCCGGCATGACCTGTTTAACAGGTGGGCAAACAAATATCAGTCACTATTTGATCGTTTGACTGGCAGCGAAGTCGCGGCATACAAGGTACACGCAGTGTAGCGCGTTGAGCAAAGACATGTTTATTTTTAGACTAAGGCTTGCCACCTAACTATCATCATCCACTGTTACTATACAGGTGATAGATGGAATAGGATAGACCCCGAGCGTCTCACTATGTCTCCGGGAAAAAGCGGCACGGCCTGGTTTAACTTGCCGTGCTCGTACCATGTGGGGAACAATGGTGCGAAATCTTTTGGCGATTCCCTCCCACTGGACTTTTTAGACTTAATTAGGATTCGACAGCTTAGAACCGTTGATGACCCTCCCCCAACAATCATGGAAAGGGGCAACTGGTAGACAAAAATTGTCTTCCAAGAGGCCAAAACGTCAACGTAGCTCCCAGCCAAGTATGGTGATCCGCATTTGCTCCACCCACTGAAGCAAGGTTATCAGCCATAGAACCTGAAAATAGACCATGGGAAGAACATGTTCCTCTCCAGGACCATGTTCTATGTTGATGTAGACTGTTGATTGCATCCATTTGTTATAAACCAACCAATTGCATTGGAGTTGCTTCAAGGGAGCTGGGAATTGGGGAAAAAAGAGACCTTCGCAGGAAGGGGACTCACCCAGCTTGAGAAACATGAACGTATCTCCATTTGCCAAACCAAGAGGAGGCAGAGGTTCTACAACCCAGACACTCCATGGGACTGGCATATTTACCCACATTTGGATGGTTGAAAACAATGGAGTGTCTGGCATAGTTTACAACCTCATGTGACTGGGAAAGGTTTTGACGGTTTTCTGCAGTAAGTCAATGCCAAGGGGTGAAAAAACATCTTTCTCGGGGCGCCAGTGTTCTCATACAGGCTTTTCAGACCTATACCTTTCATATGATGTCGCTGAACTACCACACTTAGTGGTGACCATTCGTGTGGTCCGAATTCAATCATATGATGAAATACTCAACACCGCAGCACCTCCCAAGTGACGGAATTTCCCGTCACTTGGACACAAACATGAGAATGACTCCATGACTCCATGACCATCCATGGGGAAAAAACACCAAGAACAAGGGATCCGAGGTCCGGATCCCTTCATTTTTGCTTCTCTTCGTCCGGACCGTCCGGACGCTGGGGACGCGGGTCCCGCGCGGACCGGTGGACCAGGCGCCTTCGTGTTTCTGCTGGGCACCCAAGTCATCGACGACCGCGTCTCCTTGGCGGACCTGGGGCTCGCAGCCAACACCCAAGCGTCCTGGACGGCTGAACGGCTGAACGAAGGAGGGCGTCTGAAGGGTGACGTGAAAGCCATGAGGGGAACAGAAAAGGTGAGAGCATCACTCCAAGAATGAGTGCTGGGTTGTTGATTGTGTCAGTCAGGTGTGACCTCATGACTAGATGATGTGAAAGATTCACGTGGCAGTGACCGAAGAAAAAAAAAACAAACTGTGCACCCTGCGAAAGATCACAGGTTTGTGATGTCTCAAACCTGGATGCGAAGGTGGGGGTTTGCTTCAGCTCTTGACCGCCTCTCTTCCGAGGAAGCTTATAATTAATATCTGGACCGCCTGGACCCGATGACTCCGAGCGACCATGACTCCATGACTCGTGACATGACCCTATAAGAAGCACAGGTAGGTACTTTGTATACATTTTGTGAGGTACTTGATGAACTTGATGAGACTCCAGGTAGGCTGTTGATCATGTTTATGTACTAAAACCTCGCGCAGGCGCAGGCCTAGTAAAACCATTCCTTTGAGACGTTGAAATATCATCAACGGTCATCAACCGTCTACCCTTCTAAAAGCAAATAAATCATGAAAGTGGGGGTTCACCACCTGGACCTGTTTGGTATTCGGAAAATGGTCACGTTGGCGACCCATGAGAATGTCCAGACCTCTGACTCCTTGGGGGATTTCGACCGGACACCCCAGATCATCCTTTCTTTAAATTTTGGTGCGGCTATAAATATATAATAGTGGTTTCAGAGTAGATGGCTCAAACCCCAAGATGTTCTTAAGATGGGGTCCATATACCAGTACCATCCAAGCGGTGTCCAATGGACTACCCCACCTATAGGCTTCCATTGGGCACCCCTTGGATGGTCCAGGTATAAACCACCTTTTGGGGATTGAGCCATCCTCTGAAACCACTGTGGTGGGCACTCAGGGTTTCGAGCTCTTCTTCGAGCAGACATTCTGCAAGCAGAAGCGTATACCAGGTGTGTAGAAGAATGATAGTTGTCCTGGAACTTCGTGTTCTACTTGCGTTACTTGAGGGAGGTCCCACCCACCAAGACCTTTTGATAGAAGGCTTTTTGGAATGTGGTATGGTGGGTATGGAGCTCTAAAAGGTCGGTCTAAACAAAGCGTTTGCAGCTTCTGACCCCTGCGTTTGCAGCTTCGGAATGAGGTGGAAGTCACGGTCTTGGACAGCTTACGGCCCTGCTTCGACCCTCAGCTGTGACTTCTTTCGCCGCGGTTCGGTGGACCGAGTCGCTCGGTCGGGAGCCCAGCGAGCGAGCAGGGGAGGACGTTTTCGGCAACCGTGCCCGCCGGCGCCGTGCGTCGTATTTGAACCGGAGTCACCTTAGTGGGGATGTAGTTACCTTGACGGAGGGGAGGGTGGAGGGTGGAGATGGAGAAGTGAGCGACGCGACGCGAAATGGAGCACCAATAGATCTCGGTCTCTACTGGGAGCTTTGATCAACTTCGGATTATTGGGTGGTCAGTTCATCATCATGAAAGAGAAGAGAGGGATCAAGTAGCAGATTCAGTAGCAGACCATGAATGTCCAGTTTTGCAAGATCTTGGGACAATTTGGGGGGCCTGTGGGCTCACTCGCCTGGAGGGCAAGAAGGCCCCAGGCCCTCATCCTAGGCCTTTTGGCTCGCACTGAACCGAAATGGCTTGACCGGTGACAGGGGCACAGAGACCGCGAAAGTGTGGATACCAGCACCTTCAACGGGGTCTCCAATAGACTACCCTACACTGCTTGTGGATCTCCAGCCAGAGCACCCCTACTACAGACCACGAAAGAGTAGGCAGTTCATGATTCATAGCTTACTTGACATAATTCGGCTATACTGCATACTATATATTATGCAAGGAAAGCAGTAAGAAAAGCACCTACTGGATTTCATGTTGTAACAACTTCACTTCATCTTACGGACTCTAGTCTAGAGTGGAACTTGTTCACCCCATCAGCTCTACTCAAGAACCCCCCTGCGAATTTTGAGAAGACTTTAGACTTGATGCCTCAACCGAAAACACCTTCAACACATCCCTAGGGCTCCAAGTACCTTCTGAGAAGGTGTTTAGGGTGGGTTGGAAGGGTCCAAATACCTTCTGAGGAGGTACTTGAAGCCCTATGGCAGTGAGAACGTGCCACACTTGGCGCAACTGCGCGTCCTGAAAGAGTCTTTGCACTCTCCCCAACTACACGCCGGAGTTGAGGTTTTCCGACCTTTTCTATGGCCGTGCCAGATCATTCACAGTGCTAACCCGACGCCTCCCACAGAAATCACTCCAACCACCTGGACACCAATTTCACTCTCTCGTCCTGGGTCCGAAAGGTCCGAAAGGCCGCTGGGTTTCGGGCGGAGCCAGGGGCTACAGGATGTGAGATCAGCCGAACGAGGGTGAATGTGCCTCTCACAAAGGACGTGGTAGGTCTACCACGTCACCAGGGAGTCCGGGAGACTCACATGTCTCCAACTGGAAACTCTGCTTGTCAACATCGATTTCTTGCAGAATAGGCGGTTTCTTGAGCTTGCAGCTTGCACCTCAAACTATACTTCTCTCAACTTCTTATTCCAAACTGCGGACGTCGGTGGAACCGTGTCCTTTCTTCGACCCGAGACGCAGACGCGTCTCGTCTCGCCGACCGTCCGCGTCTCCCCGCGATCTGCGTCGCTGAGAGACGGAGATCGTCGCGACCATTGTTACTAGCTTCTTGTTACTACATCACTACTTAGTAAGGCACTTGTTACTAGAAGCGATGCACTTGTTACTACTAAGGAGTGGGGCTTCTATGCCTCTGACGGTCGCAACTCCATCGATGCCTCCGAGCGCCGCCCGGGCGACGTGTGGTGAGGGAAGTGGTGGTCTGGGGGAGAAAAGACCTACGGCGCTCGGGGAGCGCGTCAGACCAGCGGTGGCGCCACAAAGGGACCTCATTTTTGGGAGGTTTGCTATGTCACCATGAGGATCCACATACCCTCTCAGAAGGCGATTGGACCCTCCAAGCATACATAAAAGAGTCTCCGATCACCATCTCAGAGGGCATGTGGATCCCTAGAGACAATGGAGTATATTAATGCGATTAATGAGTGTTTCTCACATGAGAAATTCATATCTCGTGTTCTCTCACGTGAGAAAACTCTCCCTTACTTATTCCCGTGACCCTTTTACAGTCAGAGGCTTTTCGGTGGAAACTCTTTGGGATCTCAGGGCTCGCTGGGCAGTCTTTCAGCCAGCTGCTTTGCATGGAACATGATCCAGCTGCTTCCGTTCGGGGCCACCGGATATCTCCACACGTTACAGGTCTCCAGGGCACCCCAGCGCATCCAGATGGGAACCATGTTCATCACACGGCCTCGACGGGTCGAAGGGATGCGTGGAAAAAGGCGAGCCCAAAACGGGTGCGAAGTTGGATGGTTTCCCTGACCTGGGAGCCCAAAACCATGGTTTAGGGGGGCAAAAACAGACGTTGTAGCCAAGGGAAAGATATGGGAAGATGGTAGTTTGGGATGGTCTATGTAAATTTCACTTAGAACTGGGGAGGTTTCTGAAGCAAATTGGCTGTTCTTGATTGAGCCGGCCTTGGGATCCCCCTTCCCTTCAAAATCGACTTTCTGGTTCTGGACATTTGGAGATGGATCAATTCCGCCTCCACACCAGCTCGCCTCCGCGCTCCTCCGCGGCCCGAGGAATCTTCACGCGCGGCGACCTGGCGCACCACACGGATGGCGTGCGCGCCAAAGCGCCGCTGCCGCGCGACGCGCGGTGCTACGTGACCTTTCGGAGCGGGCGGGGCAGAAGGAGGCGGAAGGAAGGTGGGTGGAGTCTAAGGGGTCCATGAAGACACACCAGGTCAATAGCAGGTCATATGGAAGAGTGAATGATGAATTACATTACATATTGGTTACTTACATACTAGGCAACTTATATGTTGGTTATACTTAGGCTACTGATGATTTAGTGTATTGAGATTTTAGGGTATTTTAGGGTCATCAATGGGGCAAATGTTTTTGTACTGTTGGTATTCCACATCCAGTGGTGTCAGAGGTTCGATGGCGGCACCCCAAGATGTAGCCATCTCCTAATCTGCCCCCTCGAGTGGAAGACATTTATCGTTTGTTTTTTTGTGAGGGATTTGGCTCTTTCCACGAACCCAGAAAGAGGTGGAAACAGGTTTAAGTCTTTTTCTCCAAGGGAAACTGAGGGAGTGAGTTACGGTATGTTTTTGTTCTTTGGGGGGGTGGGGGAAGTTGAATTGTCCTTCAAGGTCCTTTTAAGAGTTGTTGCGCTTGGTGGTTTCCAAATGTGTGATGATCAATCCATATTTGTACCAATCCCAATGGCCCTGACTAACATATTTATATACATCTTGGTGGGGTAAAACCCTCAACCAGGTTTTTGGTTGCTTATACGTTCTGGAGGAGGGTGAGACTATGATGCCAAGAAGAATGCTTTGCATTGAATTTGTTTTTCCTCGACTAGCTCAGAGGACACATGGGCTCCGCACGTGCTCGCTTATGAAATCAAAATCGGTTTCACTTATAAAATGGCCTGAGTCACGAAGTGGGTCTGAAATAGTGGCAGCAAAAGGATCAATTTAACTTTTAATGTGAATTACTCATTTTATAGAATAAACTACAAACAGAACGCAATGATACATCACCACCATTCATTTATAGCCACAATTCCTTTAGAACATGACAAATGCTACAATGGCACTAGAAAGGAGAATCAAAGAAAGGCACATGACGTTCTGGTGAAAGTGCTTCGTGTTTGCCATCATCAGTCTTGTAAGGTTCGTCGCGACATTTGGTTGTCCTGTTTCAATAGCAGACTTTGTTTCATTTCCTAGGATTCAAACCCCTATCAGGCAGCACAAGGTAGAGCTTGACAGGGCTCTAAGACCGCCTTATTTGGATTCCGGTCTTCCAAAACACCTGGAGGCTCTCCAGTTTGGATCCCAAAACGTTGGCCGATTTCGACCACCCAATTCCTGCCCCTATAGGGATCCACACAACAGAGGGGTGGGAGAGAGGTGTGGGAGAGTAATGTGCACGGCGGATGTACGAGGTATTGTGCAGACATGTGTGTGCAGCCACAACTGGCCGAAGTAAAACCCCATCGCTCTGCCGACGTAAAGCCCTATAGCCAAGCTCTTTGTCATCGCGCGCGCTGGCTGGATAGGACGAGCTTGCGGATTCTCGGAGCATTGCCTTGCCCCGGGGAACCGGCGGCGGATTTTATCTTTGTTGGTGACTCAAGTATGGCGTTGGTTCATGCCGAACAACCGCCAGAGGGATCGTTCGAGCCTCCCAAACTCACACGCCGCAACATTGGTGAGTATATCAAGGCTGATCCCAGTGGCTTACGCGAGACAGCGGCATCGGTTCAGTACGGGATGCGTTGGGGCAAGGGTCTCGAGCAGATCAACGACGAGATCGAGAACTGCTTGAATTGTGACCGCCGACGTGCGCCTGCAATGATTGTGGTATCGTATGCTGGCAACGACGTGTGGGGAAAACACGGGTTCGTCGGCAACACATGGATCGACTCTCGGTCCGTGCGCCGCAACCCTGCAGTGCAAAGAGCCGCCTCGGAATGGCAGGACGAGCTCGCCCGCAAACACTTTGCCCAACTGGAGCGGATGGCATCCTTTCTCACGCGTCCTGACGTTGGTGCTATCTCCATCATTGCGTATGCCGACGCATAGCTTCGGGCTTCATCAGGACTATGCACAAGGCAAATGTGTTTGTTCGGAGACGCTGCTCAGAGCCGTGGTATTTTGGCAGTGACAGGTGCGGCCCTCACCCGTGCCACCACAAGGTACGACAACTTCCACGCTGAAGACTCTCATAGCAATCGTACCGCGTACTACAGGTACTATGAATGTGGATAACCACAGATTTTTGTAAAATGGTTTTGGCTCTGATCTGGAAAGACATTGCTGGAAGGCACATTCCCAAAACAGGATCTATACAAAGTGACATGTAAAATGCATCGTCGTCGAACTCCTTCCTTTTTTTTCTGCACACGTCGCACATGTTGGTAATGTACTGCAGTCGTGCCTTCTCCGGTCCGGTGATGTGTTCGACGATGTCGGCGCCAGGGTCGGGCCCAGGACTTCGTACCTTTCGAGGGTGGCAGCGGATCCCCAAAAGGGTGGCAGCAGGCGCCGTCGAACGATGCCTCGGCCGAAGGGCCGCCGAACGTCGCTTCCTCGTGGCCGAAGCCGCAGGAAGCTCGGCACCCACGCCTCACTGGGCGTGGGCACCGCCGGCTGCACGTTGGGCCGGAGCCCTTTGGAGCGGAGCGGAGCGCTGGGCCGGAGTAGAGGGTGGCATGGAGTGGTCTCCAAAAGATCTGGTCTCCAAGGCCTCGGGGGCACACCTTGATGGAGGAAATTGGATCTAACACCTCTTCAAGGTGCAATTGACGCATTGGATCTAACATTCCATGTCAATTTCGAATCAAACACCTTCAATTAATGCTCGGAAAACACAATGTTTCATAAACTGGTGCGGTGGCCAATGTATCGAAACCTGATGGGATGCATTTCTTATTCCCCAGAGAACCTTTCCCCAGTTCTCCCAACTCGTCGTCGATGTATACACACCCAGGCATGACCGGGTCTGGTCAGTTAAGGTGCATGTTGCGGGGTCCAATGTGAAAATACCTTAGGCTCAGTAAAAGCCGACCTAGGGGCTCATGGCAGCTGGCAATCCAAATGTGCATCAAGGGATAGATGGTACTATAAATGTCTATACATGAGGCCCTTCCTTTGTCTCAATTTGCCGGGATATGCTGAGGGATCATTAATTTTCATGTTCCTTTGGCCTTTGACTTTGGGGTTCCCTTTGCTTTGCTGCAGGAGGCTTCTTGGGAGCAGCTCGCTCTGGCTTTTCAGGTTTCTACTATCTTTGCTGGGCGTGGTTGACTTTGGGGTGGACCTTTTCAGCGGCCAGACTGACCATTCATGTTTGGTTTTCCAAAGCACCCAGCTTGGAAGTGGCGGCTGGTCGTGGTGCATTTCTGTTGCATCCATTGTGTTCCCTTTCCCAAGCCTCCAAGACCTTTAGAAAGGTTGACCTGGTTTAGTGCAAAAACCTGCGGGTGTATCCTGGTATAGGGGTGCTGACGGGTGATGTGTATTTTTGATGTTCACGATGGGTCAATCCAACGCCCGCGTCTCCCAACATCGATGTTTGGACGTCTCCCGACAGACCAAGCAGGTTCTGGGCACGGACGGCTCAGGTGACTATCTCCACCTTTTCGGGCTCCTCGACGAAGCGCAGTGGACGGGTGTGGCGCAGTGGGCGCACTACATGGGGCACAAGGCAAGACCCAGTCAGCGATAACCTGCAAAAGTGCTTTTCTCGCTAGCACGGGTAGAAAAAGGTTAACTTTGTTTTTTCCGTGAAAACGGCGGAGTCAGAAGTGGTTTTGGTTCAAGTGGACCGAGGGGAAGGCCGTGGTTCCTGGAGCTTGTGGGGGGACGTTTGGTTGCTGGTTTGTGGAGTGATATGCATGGTCGGGATGGCTTTCGTCGTTCAGGGTCATTCATCATGGGTAGCTCCCAATCAGGGGGGAGCCCAAAAGATTGGTTGAATATTCTGAGAAACTCAACCGAGCCATCCAGGACCCCACTCTCCAGCCTCAAAGCTCTTACCCTCTTGAATTACCATGTGTGTTACTAGTAGGATTTGTTAGGTAAAGTCACATGAGTGTCCACCACCACTTTCTTAAGACACTTGTAGTTCCGTAGAACCCCAAAAACCGGTTCAAATCAAGTATCAATCATGTCCGACCCTACAACTTGTCCAAAGATCCAGTGACCCTACTTTAGTAGACACCCCAGGTTCTTTACTTGCACCAGGACCGGGGTGCTAAATGGGAACTATAGGCTACAAGCCAGGTATCGACACCCCTAGCTTTCTATGGGTTAAGACTTGATCTCCCTTCTTCTCATGGCAAGTTTACCAGCAGATATGACACGATGTGACACAGAAAAAAACATCACGAATTCACCTGTTTTTGCTTAAGGTTATGTCCATTCTCCCGAACTGGATCAATCCCCTTTGCCCCGTGAATGAGTTATTGTTCTCCCCGGTTCCACATCAAATACGACCCGACTTCACAGGTTCCTGACGTTCGTCCGGTGCCCAGCAACCTGTTAGGGTCAAACAACCACTTAAACAGCCTATCCGGTGCCTTTATACAGGTTCCAACCACCTGTTAGGCTCCTGGCCAGGAGGGTGCTGGTCGTGCGACGCCGGACCGAGGCAGGATGAACTCAGCTGGGCCCTGTGCTTTGGACGCGAAAACGGACAACTGGTCACTGCGATGCACGCGGCACGCGTGGTGGAGGCCTGGTTTTGCTTAGGAGGATATTGAATTTTCATATGTGCTACATCATTGTTTAAACGTGGTCTAAGCCATTTTTATCCTTGTCACGGGGTGAATCCCCTGATAGGGAATAGCTTTTGTATTGTTGTTGTTTTCTCCCGATTCCTGAAAAGCAAATCCAAGGAGGTGTCTCAAATCCGCGAGGAGCAGGAGAAAGGCCGGGTCGGGTCGGGCCCTAGCTCGCCGGGGGGGGCCGAAGAATGCGAAGGGTTTGCGAAGGGACCGATCGGGCACAGGGCATGATGTAAGAAGAACAACATTTGGAAGTGCAGCCAAGGGTTTTGGTTGGTTTGGTTGATTTCTGATCGGCTGGTTTTCGCTGGGTGGTAGGTACATTGGTGAGATGTGATTGCTTGCTAGCTTACGGGTTTGGGTGATGATTTGTGGAGTGAAGGCTCCAAGATTGGAATTTGGATCGGGTGATCGGCTGGCCACTGCAAATAGTTTATATATCAAGAGGCGGGGATGACTATGACCCATGGACCTTGTTTGCCATTTGGATCTTGATTTCCTTGGAGAGTTCTTTGCAATCCTCTTAAATCGAGCACTCTTCGCACTCTTCGCAGTCGGACTGGTGCAGCCATTGGTACATGTGTCGTCATGTGTCAGACGTCCGTCTTTCATCAAACCTTGCTGACCGGAAACGAGCGTACGAATGGGGCCCCCGGGAGGGCCGTAATGACTCAACCAGCAACGGCCTATTCTTGCACATGTGCGCCAATTGCGTGGGAAAAAGCCTAGGTGTAATTAATGGAAAAACCTGAACCAAAGTTCAATATAAATGGAGTTGGTTCAGGTACAGACCCTGGAGTTGTTTGGGGCGCCACAGGCGCTTCCGCCACATATGAGAAGAAGATGATCCTGCCAGAGGACCGCCGGACCGCTGTAGAGGTGATTTCAGCGAAAGTGGTGAGCTGGGAATCTGGTGATTTCATCGGGGCAAAGTTTCAATGACTTGACCTGAAGTCATGAATCCGTTTCCCGATGTAATTATCATTGCTATTCATTGCTTGCTTTCTCGAGACGCTCATCTAATACAGACCCATACATGTCCTTTTTCACAATATAAAGAAGACACTATAAGACATGCACCCTTTGGTTTAGTCGTATGTTTGTGTTGGCGATCCCTTGTAGTCATTCATGCACCCTAATCCAAGTTCGTTGGGGACTCCTCTGCAGGCCAGCCTGACTGGGTAGACCCAGACCCATGTTGGGTAGGAGTAGGCCCATCTAGACCCTAAGAAGCCTGGCCTGGAGGCAGCGTGACGCCCTCCAGAAAGGCACACTACTTCCGCCGTGCCAGTAGCCGTGCCATCTTGCCCCTAGATTCTCGCACGAGATCTGATCCAGTGGATGACTGCTTAGCATGTTTAAGAAGATGATAAGCAAATGTGAACTAGCAGCGCTGCCCTTCCGGTGTACTAAGCTGGAAGAATTCTGGCAGTTGAGAGACGCGAAATCACTCACATGTGAAACGCACCCGGCAGTGAACCTTTCAGTTTCGCATGTTTAGCAGTTCAGCACCTATCCAGTCTCATTGTTTTGGGCTGCCTTCCTTAACATGCCGCAACCTGAGGGCTTTCACCTTCGTTCGCAGTCCTTTGTTTTTTCGCTTTTTGAGGAGGCCTTGAATGGTTTTGAATCCATGAGCTTCAATTTCATGGTCACAGCTGCTGGTTCCATGAAGCTCGGACTCGCACAAGGGCAAAGGCTGCAGAACGCGGCGTTCACGCGATGTTTGCAAAAACCAGGAGCCAAATGGTACATGTAGACCGTTGATCAAAAACTCCATGGGTCAACAGCGCCGGTTCTCCAAGCTTTTGTACTCCACTGGTCGGGTAGACGGCGCGTCCAAGACGAAACAACAAACCCCAAGGATCCACAGATCCACCGTACCTCAGAAGGTACTTCTGGTTTTGCTGCGCCTACATAACTCTCCAATCACCGTACCTCAGAAGGTATGTGGATCCATAGGGAAAGAAACACTACTAGCAAAGGGACGCTACTAGAGCTCCTGGCATCGCTACGGCGGTCTCGGAGCTGTGTGCCGCTCCCTTCCTCACTGGGACACATGATGCGAAGGATGCAGGGATTCCCAAAATGGTTGGCATGACGTTTGGTAGGACCATTCAATCAAGTTGAATCTAAGTCTGGATTTCTTTTCAGTGATCTTTCTTCAAACATCGTCACAAGTACCCCAATCTAGGTAAATCTTCCATAGATTTGGCAAACCCATTCTCGCAAGGCCACCCGTCTCTTTGGTTGGTCCTTCGGTTGGTCCATCGATCGCGGCAGTGCCGGACCACAGCTAGAACCTGAGAGACACCTCTGATGGCCGGCGCACTGGCGCCATCCATATCGACGGGCTGGGCTCGCTCCCGATGCTGGCGAGCCAAGTGGAGTCACAGGTCTGGCCAACAGCTACGTGGTTGATGAACAGATGGGGATCTCTCCAGTGGTGATACTCCACCAGTTCGGTATATACCCTAGAGTTCCAAGGACTATATTTTGACCGGCTGAAGTAAAGGAAGTTCCCGAAATCAGTTCCCCTAAAGACTATTCTTTTGTATAGTCTTTGACTCCCAGGGTATACGTTCCACATCGATCCCCCTCAAAGCCTTCCCCCATGTGCAGTTCCACGGCTCGCTCGCGCTTTTAAACGCAGCGAGGCATGTGCGGCTCCCTGGCCACGAGGAGGACCTGGCGGTCGCCTTCGGTGCCTCGGTGGTCCTCGGACCGGGCGGTAGGTGGCGATCCGATGAAGTGTCGGAGCTGGGAGGCTGAAGCCCGTGCTGAAAGGCTTGAGCCTGGAATATCCTGGAACTCCAAGACCATTTTTGACATGGTGGATCTGACAGGTTTTGTGGTGCCAAATCCAGTACAACAATGGTTGTTCGGGATTCAGGCTGAGTGGTGGTTCGGCTTTTAGGCTTGATGGGGTTAGATGAATTGATTCATCCATCGTTGACCTCCGAGAAGTGAGCCAGTTCGGCGGACTCTCCCTCAAGTCAGCCGACCACCGCATCCCCTCGGGCCCACAGGAGCCAACCTACCCACTACGAAGTACCTGGATCACCTGCAGGGAAAACCAAAACCTTTGGGAGGGGGATTGGGGAATTATTTGGTACTTTTTTCACTCCACCGTTCTTGTTGAGGGAAAAGATATTTATATATAAATATACTAGGGAACCCACATGTGCATTTTTGTTGTTCAAACACGTTCGCAGAACAAATCCGTGCATCCGGCCGTTTTTGTCAAATGGGCAAATTTGCTGGAATTCCTCCAAATATTGGGTTTGATCGGGTTTTATCAATATTATTGTTTGGGTCTTTGTCAATAAAATGCTGATAACGTTTGGGTTTCATATGGGTACGCTTTTGTACGGTATTGTTTTTTGTCCATACGGCTAAATACGGTAATTTGTTAATTAACATGTCCATACACGTCCATACGATAAAATCTGTCCAAAGACGGCCTTCGCACAAAAAAAGTGTTCATACGCCTTTCCAGCTATATAATATATACCCAATATTCACCAATCCGCCTCCCAAATTGTGAACATTTGGTTCACTGTTTCTTTTATTCTGGGAAAATCTCGACAAATGCAGGTCATTGCAGATCCAGCCATTGAAACAGTTGCTGTGTGTTTTTTCCTGGAACCACCAGAAACACCCACTTTGGATGTTTCAACGAGCACGTTGTAAGGGTTTCAGCCAGATTGAATGCACCATGTGTTTCTTTTGATCTTCAGATCTGACGTTTTGGTACCAAGAAGGGGCCATCTCCCAAGCACGAGCCGAGCGTTCCAAAAAAAGACGTCGATGGCTTTACACCACGCTGTTCTTCCATGTTCTTGCCCCCCCCCAAAAGGCCCGCGCTTTCACCACGCTGCTCGGCGCGCCCGCGGTTTCACGCCCGACGCTCGCGACGCCGCGGAGGCATTCCGAAGGACGTGGAGATCTTCGTGGTGGCCTCCACCGTGTGGCCTGGTCCGTCCGGTCCGATGAGACCGGATCCGTCAGCGTTTCGTCGTAGTGATCAGTGAATAGACATAAATGCATGTATAGACTTGATAAAATAACCCAACCCCCAGATGAAGAGGCATTTCTTTTTCCCAACTGGGGTGCCTTAGTGGATCCTATAGTGTAATTTTTGATCTTAATTAGCAAAACGGGTGCCCCCCTAGCCAACAATCGAGGGAGTATGAATAGAATCCCCGCCACAAAAACCATTAGTAGCGTTCGTAGCAGTAGCAGCAGCAGTAGTAGTTTAGTAGGTTGGTCGTAGTAGTAGTAGTCGTCGTCGTCGTAGTAGTAGTAGTAGTCGTCGTCGTAGTGGTAGTGGTAGTAGTAGTAGTCGTCGTAGTCGTAGTCGTAGTCGTAGTAGTCGTCGTAGTAGTAGTAGTAGCAGGAGTAGTAGTAGTAGTAGTAGTAGTAGCAGTAGTAGTAGTATTGTTGTTATTGTAGTAGTTGTAGTAAGTCGTCGTCGTCGTAGTAGCAGTAGTAGTAGCAGCAGTAGTATTACTAGCAGTCATAGTAGTAGAAGAGTAAAGGAAGGATTTGAAAGGGCAGCAATAGCAGAACAAACAAAGTTATATAGACGTGTTTTTCCCTTAGGGCTCCAAGTTTGCTTATTCATCCCACCCCAAAAAACAATTGATATTATTCACTTCCCCTGGGCTGGTGTACTACCCCTTGAAAAATTGTTTGGAGCAATGAAATCGTTGAGTTTTTATAAGCGTTTTTGACAACGATTTCCAGGTCAGAATTCCCTGAATCAAGCAAACCTCAGGAGTATTATATAAGTGAGGATGCTAACGAGGGAGCAACAGCAGAACAATAGAACAGTAAACAAAGCCCAAGAAATAACACCCTGGGTCCGGGTGACTTTTTCTAATTGTTCCCTCACTCTAAAAACTATTTATAGGGTATTGGAACATATTGGCGAAACCTTTCTATTATTCGGTCCTGGGTCCCATTATACTAATTTGGATGCTGTGGTAACTGGTCTCATGAAGAGGGTGTTCGGGAGAGAGGAGAGAGAGAAGTAACTGGGATCCGGGGTTGATCAACAAATCCCCGCTCGTTTTGGAGTGACTTCTCTATAATGTCGGATGACTTTTGGATTATGGTCGAATCAATTTGTAGGGTCGCATTTGTTGGAGCGCCGGCAGACCACGCTTTTTGAAGCTCCGTTTGGACAGCCCGTGTTTGCACCCAGGAAGGTAAACATGGAATCTGATGGCATCGACCTTTGGACGATGATTTTCCTCTACAACCGAGTGGTTTTTCAGGTTGCATGTTCATCTTCCAGAGTGTACACTTAAGAACTGGCATCCTGCCATCCCGCTCCACTTACTCCACAAAAAAGAAAACCAGAGGCTTGAAAAGCTATGACTCTTTAATAAACCCCATCTCAGCAGTTGGTACGAAAGAAAGCCCGTCTATGTACTCAAACGTTCAAAATATTTCACCTTTGCTTACACTGACCCCTGAAACAACTACCTCAATGTAGGCCTAGTATGCCAGTCCCATGAGTATATATATAGATCATGTGGCAATAGCCGTGACGATATATGACTCTAAGTGACCAAAGATTGTTCTGGCAGCATGATCCTATCACATGAGTTTGGGCTGACACGATATGTCTTATGTGCAGGTCTTCCTCATGAAACAGGGATCCGCGCCACGTGTGGAGTGACCCCAGGAACTCCCCCGCGTGGCCGTGGCCGTCGCGCAGCTGTCGCTGAGGTTCGGCCATGGTCGGATCACCATCTCCCCTGTGGACGACAAGGATTCCTCAAGTCCAGGCGCTGCTTGGGACTCAAAGATCTTCCCCACGGAGGCCGCTGAGGCCGAAGAAGAGCCCTGAAGCGTGGGTCGGTGACCTGCGGGACGCGAGCGGTCCTGCGACGGTCGCGCGGGTCGTTGACCTGCAGGTCGGGCAGCTGCAGAAAGTCCAGGAGTGTTCAGCAGTTCCACCAGAACCATTACACAGAGCTCGTTATTTCTTTTAAGTGAGGGAACCACATGAATCGAGTTGTTCCTATGCAGCGAACAGTGCCCGAACTGCCAGTGCTCACCAGCCTTGGTCTTAAGAAAAAGCCACACCAAAGCAGATGCGCGAGGATTGTCGCTGCTGCGTCCTTCGCTCTTTTGCTTCGCCACCCGACATCCATACCGATCTTCCACCACCTGGGTCCGACGACACGCGCGCTCCGTTCCAAAAGAGACGACCCGCTGTGGTTCGGTGACTCCGCGCTTGCGGAGTCCGGCTGTGTGGGAGTGATTGGTTTGAACGTACCTAGACTGCCTTTCGGGCCATATGTTCCGCCTGTTCATGTGACAGCTCGAGGCTGTTTTTCCAAACTCGGGCGGATTTCCAGGCGAATGTCCAAGTTCAGGCGAATTTCATGGAATCTTACATCTTCGGTTCTTACTGTTGGAGGCGTGATGTTGGCATACCCCTTACCGGTAGTGTTTCTGCTGTTTGTTTCAAATCATTTGGCGATTCGGGCTGTTCTATTTTTCGAGTCGGGCTGTTTTTCCAAATCACCAAAACCAGAATCGGGCGAATATACACGGGAAACGGACGAATATACGCGGGAAACGGGTGAATATACGTGAACCAACACTTTTCAGTTGGATCAATGCGCGCTGATTTCAATTTTTTGTGCGGGCTGATTTCAATTTCCAGGTTTCTATTTGTGAAACACTTTGTTTGGCTCAATCATGTTGTATCTTCTCCAAGCTGTGTTGCTCATATAGATTTGATCAAAGCAGCATTCGGGCGAATTTTTCAGACTCGGGCGAATTTCCCAAACTCGGGCGAAAATTTGTAGCAAAACCGCCCGGGCTGAATTACGGCCTGGGCGGCAGTCCAGGTATGTTTTTCCTTGCTTGCATCATTCCTGAGGGGGAGTACCCTGTTTATTTGTGTTTGTTGCTACCTCCCGGTCACTTCGAGCTAATCTCGTTGGCTGAGGAAAATCTTATAAGATTCTGCTCGAGGACCTACACATGCCTATTGCTAGTGGGTCAAAAAATATAGACACGACAGCTAGTCGTGGAAATATAGACACAGTCAAAAAATATAGACTCGCTAGGACCCCAGCAAATAGCACAAAACGTTTCAGGGTGCATCCACTAACCTTCCTTGTCTTGTCAAGTCGCCAGACCACTGAGGCGCCTCGTGCGCCACATGCGCGCGTTCAAGTCATTCCGCGCTCAAGGCCGTTTCCCGGCGGTTTCCCCGGTGACTGGATCCCTAGGGTTCAGAAGAGGGGTTAGTTGCAAGGATCCAACCCCAGAGAGCGAAGACCTGGTCGAAACAATGTGGTGGTGGATTGATTATGTCAAGGTAGCATTGTGCAGATTTATCTGTATGATTTTGCTTCGCAAGGTTGTAGGCAAGTGTTTTGTTGCTGTTCTCCTGTTCTCCTCTCCGATTTGGACATGGGACTTCCTGCGTGGAAGGCTCCTACTTGGGACATCACCACTTGACCAGACCAAATGAAGACATCAAGACTAACTACTAGTTTTCCTTAGGGCATCTCTACTAACTGCTAAGACACATATGCCGCCCCATCAACATCCATACTTCCGAATCTCAAGGTGCGGAGGTCGCCCCCCCCATAGTCCCGCCATAGTCCATATGATCACATGACTTCGCACCCTAGGTCCGGCGTACATACTGAGTATGTCAGTCTCATTGGTGATGACAATGGCATTGGGATCACATCACCAAATACATCACCACTGGGAGTATGTCAGTCTCATGGCATTGGCATTGGTGATGTGTTTCACGGTCGGCTCGCCTGGCCACATTCATGCTCGGATCCGCCGAGCTGGAAGGAACACGACATCCATGGAATAGTTACATACATTCACCTCATGAAAATGACTCCAACAGGTAACTATTCCAGTGTTATGGATGGTTTGGGCAGATGGTTTGGGAATGATGTTGATTCAAAGGCCACGTTGTTTTGATGCCAGGTTCCTGCCCTAGACAGGGGCGGGAGCTACAGTATTGCCTGGGTGGAAGAGTATGTTGGATTATTTGAGGAATTTGAGTTTGGATGGATTTGACATTGATCAACAGTTGAAGGAAAGGAATTGTCAGGTACATATATATGCTATACCTTGTATAAGTTCTTGTATTATGTTAAATACTTGGGATGTTTCATGCATCACATCTTGGATCGTTTCAGTCGGAACTATGGCCCACCCGCGGACCAGCTGTTGCGGACCAGTCGCACCATCCAGGGGGAAGTGATGCATACATTGACCCCGTTTCAAGCACGGAAAGGCTTGACCCTGGAAGTCCAACACCATGTTTTTTAAAGGGAACGATCCGGTTTTCGAGTGTTAAATCCTTAGTGAAACTATGGCTGCCAGGCTGTTCGGTAAAGGCCATGACATAAAATGTTGGTTTGACTTCTAGGGGTAGATGTGCAGTGCTTTCAGAGGTTTGATGGCACAAGTTACCGGAAAGTTGGTGGTTTACAAGGACCCCCACATAAACAAACAAACAAACAAAAACACACACACTATTGGGTTTGTGCCATCTACTCTGAACCACTGTAAATAAGGCCATACATGGATGGTGGCCTATGACCCTTGGGGACCACCTCCGCCAGGCGACTACCCGCAATTCGAGCGCGCGCGGAATTCAGACGGCTGTGCCAGTCGCGGCTGCTGTGCCAGTCTCACCCTGTCGCGTCGGTCAATGAAAACAGAGGAATCTACAGATGGATTATAGACCAGCTTCTTCAAAGTGCCTAACCCAGACACTCCATGTATGCCATATATGCTTACATTGACCCCCAAAACCACCCCAATGTAGGCATATATGGCATACATGGAGTGTCTGGGTAAGTGACCTTTTACAGGCCCAAGTGGTACTCAAACTGGGATATGAAAAGGTCACTTTGGAGAACCCGTTTGATTTTCTGGGGGGTGGCTTGTTGACAACAAATCCAAGTGTTTGCGCCATTCGGCTCCCCTGTTGACCGCTTTGTGTGACAGCCAGGGGCACCACCTGCTTGGCGCACATGGCCCTTCCGAACTCTTTGCCATGGGTCCCACTTGCGGACCAAACACATCTTGCGGACCACAGCTACACCCTGGAAGGCTAACATGGACCCTGAAAACCACCTGGTTGGTAGAGGAAAACACTCTTCCAGGGGGCCAGGACGTCAGGGTCTATGTTAGTTTTCGGGAGTGTATTTTTTCTTGAAGGCCAACAAGCATCAAGCACAGGTTGACCCTGGTCTTGTGGTCTTGGGTCATTTGTTTTGCATATGCATTCGGGCCCCCTCCCTAAAAAGACCAGTAAGCATCTTCATCCTTCGGGAAATGGCTCAATGGTAGGTCTTCATTGTGGGCTCTCAGCATGAAAGTGACCCGCTGTGACCGGGCTGAAGAACAGAATGTAAACGCATGTATCCCAGACGCTCCATGTATGCCATGTATGCCTACATTGGGGTGGTGCCAGGGGGGTCAATGTAGGCATATATGCCATACATGGAGTGTATGTGTAAAGATGTGTATTTTGGATTTGAGATGATTTTGTGACCACGGATTTGCTTTGATTTTGTATTTTGTATGTGCTAATTATATCGATTTTTGCCGTGGTTATCTCACCGAGCTTGACCCATGCTGACGTCAACCAAGTGTCACCAGATCTCTTCCGTAGGGTGTTAGACAGAACGAAGCAATTTCATGCCCAGAGGCCTCATGCCCAGATCAAAACCGGAGGTGTTCCACCACCCCTCAGCAGTTCTAGCAATCATAGTTACTCAGCAACATGACTGTTCCAGCAATCCTCAGCAGTCCTGGTGAAGCATGGTGAAGAACCTAAATATCCTCAAAAAGCCTTTGATTATCACTGATGCCCGCGGAATGGAGATATATGGACGCCAAGCCTGCTGGCGTGTGTGTAGACTACGATCTTATTTTTTGCGTCGAGCCAGAGGAGAGTGATGGCCATGGCTTCGGAATCACATGAGGGAAAATGATCCAATGCCCAGACACTCCATGGGACTGGAATATATGCCACCCCCTTGACCCTCAAAACACCCCAACTGATCGGCATATATGGCAGTCTCATGGAGTGTATTGGAATTGTCAGTCTCGAAATTGCAAGTGGCTTGCTTGCTGAGTAGCACGTTTGAGGCCACTTCGCCTCCAAAAAGAGGAACTTGGAATTGAAGACCCCAAAAGCGCCATGTGTGCGAAATCACAGCGGCTTCAAGGACGCAAAATCAGTATGCTGCATGGTTCCCAGTGGGTTTGTGTCTTTCCCAGTGGATTTGGGTATGGTTGGGTGGTTTCCAATGTTTATGCCAAAGCCAAACATTTGCCGATCAGCACGTAGAAGGAACCTGAAATTGTCTGATCAGGCAATCTTTTAAATTTTATAATAAGCAGTACCCAGCAAGACGGAAAGGGTGCTTTATGGACCCTCCTGACCATGCATTTTCCGTCCAGAAACGTCACCACCCTGGTCCAGGTGGTGCTGGTCCAGGATTTGTTACAAACGACTGGATTCGTGCCAATCCCTGAATGGCCGATCGAGTGATGTTTCCCTCCTCTGGTCGACCTCGACCTCGTGGCTTCCCTCGTTCGCTGCCGTGAGTGGTTTTTTGGGTCGAGCAAAAGAGAGACCGGTCGATGGTTGCCGTGTCGACTGTTTCGCCCTGGATGGAGTTGCTCAAAACATTGGTGGACTTCCTGTAGAAGAGCAAGACTTTCTCATGCAGGCACATGTGGGTGTTCTTTGCATTTTGTATGTGTATAGTGTATGTATATAGTTTCTATCCATATATATATATATATACCTAGAACCTGATTGACCCCTGTTTTGGAGTCAAAACATGGTCTTTACCTATCAAAACAAAGGTCATATGGGTTCTAGGTATATAATAGCACCGTGTCGAAGGACGGTGTGTCGGGTCTTGGAACCCACGGGAAGGAGCAGAACCCACGGGGCGAAGGGAGCAGAACCCGCAGTGGCCAAGGTGGTACGGTCATGGAAGGCGTGGACGCCCGTCCACCAGAGGAACGTGGAGTTGGTCCGAAAGAAACCAAAGAAGGAACGTGAGTGGTTTTCATGGAAGGCGGTGGTGGTTTCATTTTTGAGGACATGGGCAGGGGTGAAGTTCCCACCGGGCCTACGGATTTTTAACTGGGGTCATGAGTTCGACCTTCTCACCAATGAGATCCAGTGCCAGACTCCATGTGGGTGTGCATTCGAGGGAGGCTCGCAACATCTCGCAACCAATAGGTTTGGTCTATTTCTTTTCTTCCAGGGGGTCGGACTGGGAGGTCTCCCTATTTTAATCCCCTCTATACTCTATACTTGTGACCCTCAAAGCCCAATGTGGGTCAATATGCCACTGTCCCGTGATTTGACTTGGCCAGGGATATTTTGTGGGTTTCTCCTGCGATGTGACACCTCATGTCACGTGTTGACCCTGTGATGGTCATCCTGCTCGGACACACACGCAACCGGTTCGTTGGACACTACTTCGCTTCGTGTGTCAAAGCGCTTCCCACGCGCTTCCCATGCGCCCACGAGCCCTGTGTCAAGCACGGGCAGATCAGACACAAGAGACAAACCAACAAATCAGCAAGCTGGATGTCAAATCTCCAGACACGACCAGACCGGGACTGGCATGTAATATGTATCATAGACATACCGATCAGTTGGGGTGGTTGAAAGGAGCCACTATTTTGCCATATGCTAACTGTAGAGTGTTTGCGTAGGATGTCGTGACCCGGTGTTGGAGGGCTTGCAGGGCTTGCAAGGGAGGGGTTGGGGATCTGGGACTATAGAGGGTGAATTGGATCGTTCTACTTGGGTTGGAACAGTCTGATTGTTTTTTTTGGACCAGAACCGCAATACATGAGATACAGGTTCACCATGGTTCCTTCCTGCATACCCAGACGTGACGGGTCGATGCCATCCCCTGCAGCTTCTTGCAGGACCTTACTGATTCGGGAGAGTTCTACACCGCACCCTGCATGCGATCGGTCGGGTCCTTCCGGTCCACGTCCCAAAGCAGACGGAGGGTACGATCCACCTCTGAGACAGAGCAACTGAGACAACACTATCTACTGTTATACACCTGGTACTGAGATATGCTGATAACCTATAAACTGAAGAAGTCCATATACATACCATATAACCAAGATATATTGTAACCCAAAAATAATGCGTCCATGATATATAGAGTGGATAAGATATGTTCTGATATACCCTACATCCACTCAAAAGCCTACACAGCTGGGCCTCGCCTTTGCTCTCAATGCATCTCTTCCCACTTGATGTGCGCTCCGATGCAGCCAAGCTGCGACGCAGCTATTTGCAGCTGGCCTTGAAATATCATCCGGACAAGGCGACCGTTCTTCAACTGCCGTTCTGGTCCGGTTGAGGGGAGGTTGATGGGACATGTATAAATTTACATGTGCCCTGGGCGTCCCAGTCTAGATGAATGGAGTTCACGAACTTCCTGAATACTTGGGTGCCAAAGGTGGAAGGCTAAAGATCTTCCTGAGACCGGGACCGCCAACCCGCCCATCATGCCGGCTGGTGGATGTCCCTGTTTGACCTGCTTGGCATCTCTTTCAGTCTGATGGGAGTCATGGGAGCGGAGAGGTACCTCTCCTCGGCTCCGTTCGGGTCGTTCACGCGAGTCCGTCAGGCCCAAGCGACCTACCTATACCTACCATCCGTCCATCACGCACAGGAATGGACAGTTCGACTGTCAGAGAGAGAGAGAGGCCTCCAACATACAGGACGCTAACCCTACTCTAACTCTAATCTAATCGCTTTGGTATTGCTAGCTTGAAAATGATCATCAACTGAGTGGGTAACAACAATAAGCTCAGTTAGACGTGTACGTCTCCTTGTGGCCACCCACATGTGCCGAAACATCTGCGGACCAGCCACTGCAGTGCCGATGTCCATCGATTGGTATCTGACCTGGCCCCATTTGGACCGCCGAGTCTGGGTAATGCGTGTGTGTCGCAGGTGGTGGGCGCTGATGCTCAAGGACTGGAGTGATCTGGAGTGAGTGGAGCGCGGAGCACGGGTATCGATTCCGATCTCGCACAGTATGCTGACTGAATCTGACTGAGGGTTTCGGGTTTGAGGGCTATAGGGTTTGAGGGTTTAGGGTCATGTTGTCGCTGCTCCGTTCGTTCGGCTCGCATCAACGAGTTACCGCCTTCGCTACAGACTTGGGCAGCGCGGAGGCGGAAGGACCGACTGGAAGGGTGACTAAGAAACTGGGCGGCCCGTAGTGGTTACTACTGTAATTAGTTAGCTGTTGAGGCCACTTGCTAAGCAGTTCTTATGTATAGTTGTCAAATAGGTAGTACGTCACTTATGTGCCACTTACCGAAGTGCATAGTAAGTACACATAGCCTACATAGCAAGTACACTTGAAGCGCTTTGAACAAGGGTAATTACCATGAAAACATGTCGGTTTGTCTTGCTCCTCTCAGCCTGCATGAAGCGCTTGCGCTCCCTAAGTGCAAACAAGGTACTGCTGAGTTGTTGAACATCAAAGGCTGCAGCTTTTGCAGGGCTGCGCTTGCAAGATTGTCAACGAATGTCAATGTTGGCACGCTTTTGCAGGGCTGCGCTCGCAAGCAGGAAGGGCTGGCTAAGTTGAAAGGCAACGGTGCCTTTCAAAGGGAGTTGTAGATTTCTTGAATGCATACTGTTCAGAATTTGTGTTGGCACGTTTGCAAGGCTGTGCTCGCAAGATAGATAGCAATCCTTGTTGATTTGATACTCTTGTAAGATCTTGTAAGTTAGGAGCTTTAATGTGTGCGTTGCCACATTGCTGGAGCAAAGATAGCCATTCAGGAAAATTATTGACAACTCATTCGGTGACCACGCCACGCGCCAAGTCAACCCGTTCGCAATACAATCATGAACCATGCAGTGCTAGTTTGCGCGAGCACGATTGGTCCCACGGAATGTCTATGGAAAGAAGTGTCCTCTCCTGGTATTTGCTCTCAATGTTGGCACGCTTGTAGGGCCGCGCTCGCAAGAAGGAAGTGCGTGTTGGCATGTGCGCATGGCCGCGCCAGCATGTGCATGTTCATGAAACTTCAAGGCCTGTGCCCTTTGTGGGCAAAGCTTGGGAAATTCAGAACACGTGTTTGCAATCTGCAAAAACGACAACACTGCAACGTACACATGAGCTCACTGTACGCACCAATCTTTTTGTGCCCGGAACACCAACAACATGAAACAAGGCGCGTGCGCAACAGCACGAAGAAAAACCAACATAACATTTGTTAGCGAGAGACCTCCCTGTTGTGCGGGACTTTGTGCTAGACTGTTGGGACAAACATGCGGAAACTTGAACAACATGAAACGATATCCTTGTGGAAACTATAATATCCTGGTATCCTTGTGGAAACTTGAGCAACTTGAAACCAGTTGCGTGCTCAACAGCCAATAGAACCAACAATACATCTGCCAGCGAGAGACCCTCCCTGCTGTGCGAGACTGTTTGGGAAAACATATCCGTGCGAGAACTTCGGTATACAGTTCCTGGGTTTTCTTCCCGTTGGTGCCACTTTGGCGCGAATGCTTTATGTGAGTTCCGGCATCGGGGATTTTGTTGGTCGAAAGGGCTGCGAAATTCAATCATGCATCTGTCATACATCGCGCACATAGCTTTGTAGCGCACCTAGTTAACAAGTGCCACGTACCTAATTAGTAGATTGTAGGTAAGCAAAATAAAAGTTAACCTTAAGTATTATATGTAATGTAGATGCACGTTTGGAATTATACAGGTATGTATGCGAGCAGCAGGTAGGAACATTACAGCAATTAACATATCTTAGGTCACTTATAACCTCACTTGCAGTTGTTCCCAAGTGGTACAATCACCATAGCCAGACCGCCAAGAAGACAGGGATTGATGTGCCATGGGCAGTCTCAACAAATTGCGGATGGGCGGTTCCAACATCTGCTCGGGATACTCGTCAGTGGATGAAATGTATCCAAGCTTACGAGCACAAGGTCAGGAAGCTAGCCCGACGTGCCCCAGGAGTGTTGGCAGGAAAGATGATTTCGCAACTCGACTCCAATGTCGGACGCCAGAGCAAAGCGCAAGATGAGACCAATTCCCTCTTGAAAAATCTCAATACCCTCATGAAGTCCCTCGTCGATGTTGAGCAGCGCAAGACGACGCTTGTGGCACAGGCTGCCAAAGCAGCTTCATCGGCTACGGCCAATACTGGACCTGCAAGTGCACCGCCTGGATCGGCACCGGCCATGGCACCTGGATCGGTACCAGCCGCTACGGCACCCCCTCCGGCCACCTTGGGGACTGGAGTGGTCCAGACACCTTTGACGCCTGCGGTAGCTCCGAAGCTCATGCCTGCGACTTTGGCACCTCCGCAAGGCCTTGAGAGAGATGCAATCGTCGCTCCTGACCACCACTGAAAGGTGTTTGGAGGCAGGACACGACCCCCATCCAGCCGCTGTCCACTCAATACTTCAGACTTCAGACAAGCGCTCCTTCGCGCCGGCGAGGGAGGCCCTCACGTTGTGTGGGGCAGTGGACTTGGCTCTGCCGGGCCGCATTGCAGAGTCCCTGGACTGCTTGATACAGCGCCTCAAGAGCGTTGAGCTTGTCGCCCAAGGCGCATCCTGGCAGGTTGCACAACGCCTAGAAGTGCTTCCCCCCGAGAGGCCGGTACTGTCCACTCGGGGAGGGACCAAAGCTGTGATCAAGGAGCAGCAGGACGAGGCGAAGACGAGGAACGATTCTTCAAAAGATCGCGGAAAAGGCACTGGCTGGCAGGGCTCTTTTGGGCGAGAGAGCGCAAGGGTTCGATCGCTGGCGTCGCAGTGACGGCAGCACCAACAGGCATGGAAATGCTACAGCTGTTCGTCAAGATCTTCGGTGATGGAGACCTTTTTAGATTTCTCGAGCTGCAATGTTTTCACCTGATCAGTTCCATGATGAATCCACGATATGCACGGCTTGGGTCATATTTTGTCCCCTCATTGGCAGTTCAATCACGTGGCTTTATGGGGTTTTCTTTGACAAGTTCACGATGAATTCGGAGCAGGTTGGAGAGAAAAATAATGCAACATGGAATTAAAAGAAATACTCGCGCCTTGGACGACCATCGCAAATGTCCAAAGTGCGAGGAGCACTGTCAGGTGCCACAGACAGCGTCAGCGACCAACCGTTCCTCCAGGCAGCATCACTCAATATCACCAAGGGCGCGCATCACCAGTGGCAAGCGTTTTTGCACGTTTATTTTTGCAGACGTGGCAGTACGTGAACTCAGGAATGCTAATGCAGACTTGAGGGCAGGCCCGACGAAAGCTAGGGGGCCAGGCCCAACGGTATCGGTACTTTTGCAAGTTGCAAAAGGGTTGATCATCATTCTTGGGTCGAGGGTCGCCAGTTCTTCTACTGATTTCTACTGTAAAGCTTCGTTTCGCTTCGACTATTGTCTTAGGCTGCAGGTTAGGCTGCAGGCCCCCCATGCGTTGCAAGCGATCATGTGGTTAATGTGGTTAGTTTCTGTACATGGCCAGGAGCAACCAAACCCTAGAAAAAAGACGACCTTTTTCCGAAAACCCGTGTTTTTCTAGGTTTGGGATGGTCTGGGTGGTTCGAGGTTGTGCCGGTTTTTTGGGTGAAGCCCAGACAGCTCGTGAAGTCAGAGTCATCGTTGCCAGGAGAGTGTGAGCAACGTGAGGCCACTGAAATCTTTCAAGAGATTCAGGCAGCGTTTCTTGGCGAGTTTCAAATTCATGGATGTTTTTTGGGTTCGTGAGGGATTCTCCTTCAGGGATGATCCAAATTTCAAGATCGTTGGGCACCCACACCTGGCAACACTATACCTCGAGCTCTTGCATCAGCTCACTATTGAATGCCTTAAGGGAGAAGGATTACATATGGGCAGCATCTGGGAGCATAAATATGGAAATATAGACCTGGTGTAAATACGAATCAATCGGCAACATGACCCTTCATATAGGGGTCCCGATCTCCCACGGCCAGGTGTGGTGTAGTGTCGGGTGATTGGTTGTTCCTTGTGGGTGAATCCCCATTGGGTGGGGCGAAATGTGTTTCAGACCAAAAAATGTATAACCCAGACACGACCCATGGGACTGGAACCTATGCCGCCCCAGACAGACCCCCCCTGGCACCACCCCTGGCCTGGAGCACGGCAGTCCTATCGCATGATATCATGGGTCGCGTTTTGGGTAAATTGATCTATTCCATCCACCGGACCCCATGAAACACAGAGCCCAGACCGTCGGCTCAACACGACGATCGTCGATTTGCGGCGGCTTTGTGTCGACTCGACCGAGAGACCTTATAACCCGCCACCGTCGACCTTCACCCGCGCCCAGGTACGAGGAGCTCGCCACACGCTTGGACGCCAAAGGCGCCGTAGATCGATCCGGAGGTCGATGCCCAGACACTCCATGAGACTGCCAGGGAGCCCTATTATACCTACAGGCCTACAGAGGTTAAGTGACCTGAACTAGGACCCTGCAGGGGTACCCATAGGATAGTCGAACTAGGGTTCTTCAACCGCTGGTAGGGCCAGAAAATGTTGCAGCCACTCCACCGTGCCGCACGAACTCCCGTCACAGGTGCGATCGCCTCGGTGGGCCGAGTGCGGAGTAGCTTGGCCGCTGCATGCGAGCTGGGAGACGTGGAGGTGGGAAGACTACGTGGCTCCAGCAGTCACGTGAGCTCCGGGGTGCGATCCATGGAGGTAGGAGTTGGGTGCCCCTGTCACATCCACTCACTGGATGGCATTAAACACCACCCCGACAGGTGACTCCTGGTTCCAAGCATGGTGAGAATGTGGTGACGAGATGCTGGGATCTCCATGTGCGGTGTCAAAAACATGTAAAGACGTCTCCCAGTGACTGGGATTTGTCCATTTATGGTCTTTGGGATTCATTTTGCAGACACTTCTATGGTCTTCTACGTGTGGCGTCAAAGAGGTATCACTTTTATTCTTGTGGATCACTTTTGGCGCTTAAGAGGGCGAGACTGAGTGCGAGACTGTGTTCCTTCTGGGGCCGACACGCGACACGCGACGCACTCCGTCTTCGGCTGACGCTCGATCTTCACGGCATGAGTACGATGAACAGAAGCAACATGAAGATGCATTGCCACGACTAAAAGATACTAAAAGAATCTAAAAGAACATGTAACAAAAAAACACCCTCTAACTTCAAGAGCAGGTGCTCTACCTCCAAGAGTGGGTGTGTGTTTTGTTCAATCATTATTACACCTGTTTCATGGAAGAACCGACCTGAACGCGGATCCTCACCATGCGATCTTCGAACGAACCAAACGGTCGAACGCTCGGATCCGCGTCTCTCCACATTAATTTTTCTGCGGGCGATCCCATCAAGCAGTGTATAGGTGTACCCGAAGTCCCGGCCGTGGCAAGCCCCCCTCGACCCTCGACAAAGTTTGTTTTGTTAAGACCTAAGCTGGGACCCAAACTAGAATGGCACTACATACTATGGTTTTTCCGTATGATAGTTTTACAGTATATGTGTAAAATGGTGAGCGGAGGATCAACAGCAACTTGTAAAGGCAACTGTCACAACTCAACCAACGGGGATCAAAGAACTCCGTCACGATCAAAAGCAAGCGGTGCGCTCACTTTTCCATTGCGCAACCGTCGGGGGCTCGGATGAGCCAGACTCAAGGGCCCTTGTGCCAAAATGGTCACATGAGAGGGCCGCCATCTCATATCATGATATGCATGTTCCAATGCATACAAATTCACACGCCCTCATGGCGGTGCGAAGATGGGACCATGCTGTCAGCGACACTGTTCAGTCACGCAGCTCTCGGCTGAATCCGTACTTCTCAGCAAGACCTTCAAAATCAGGCTTCTTCCATTTCACCTTTTCAAGGTACATGGCAAAGTCCACGGCCTTGGTAATCTTGGATGGCACTTTTCCACCAGTACCATACTTTGACAAAATGAACTGGAGGTACTGACGCATGTCTTCTCCTTTCTTCGAATTCGTGCGGGCCGTCATGATCATTTGATCATACGTGAGGCTTTCAGCCTTCACCTTATCCATACGACAGATGGTCTGTCCCCATTTCTCTACGGTGCTGATTCCTTCAGGCAAGGGAATCAAGGGATCGGTCACATTGGCCACTGGGAACAAGTTCACCTTTCCAGCTTCATATCCCTTTGGGCTCACAGCAAGGTGCTCCGGTGTCATGGTTGAACCGGTAGGCTCATTGGCATTCAAGAGCTCCCACGGATTCGAGGCCTGAGAGGTCTCATCGGCATCCATGCGTCGCTTCGCAGCATCAGTCATGGCGGACATGGAGGCATCCACGATGACCTGAGCTCCCACAACATTTGGTCGGAGGTCTGGACGAATCTTCACCCAGTCGTTCACACGCTGGAGCAACTGTGCACTTTGTCCGAAACGGACAGCTCGATGGAGAAGGCCGGCACACATGCTAAGATCCTGATCCGTCAGTGGTGACCGGATGTGATATTCTTCATCATCGGTCTTTGCTGCTTTCGACATGATCCTGCGGGACTGAATGGGCGACACTTCACGGTCGTGCGCTCCTTGGAGCAAAAAGGCTGTGCAAAATTCGGTTTAACCGATGCGGCACAAGAAAAATGAGAAAAACAACCAGGACGACTCCTCAGCAACGAACTGGTTCGAGGTGGCTGGCAATGGATGGTTTCTCAACCTAACTAACAAATTCTTAAGTTTCACCAAGCAAATGTTGGATTCACTTCACAACATGCATGCATGGGCCCTAGTGCTCATCTAGTTGACGTTTCTCTGCTTCTGCAGCTCTAGCCTTGGCTTTTTCTTTCTTACCTGACTCTACTCCGGTGTGGATGGTGTATTTCCAAGTGTCAACGAGTTTATAGAAAGGTCCTGTGTCGGCTCGTAGTTTAGTCAACACGTCTGCACACATGAAAATGTTACTAGTCCAAAAGACCATGATGTTCTGCAAGGACATGCTTTCCTTTGCGATGGCATAGTCGATCTGAAGTCTCTTCTCTACGCTAATAGTAGGAGAGCTACACGATTTTGTGACTGCATCGAAGAAACCCTTGCTATCAACAACGAGGCATGCTGTCTTTTCTGGGACTCGTTCTCGAAATGTTCGAGGCGATTGGCCTTCTAGGATCTCAGCAAGCGGGGATTGAATCCACTCAATCGCATCAAGTCCATTCTGACCGGACATGGTTTCTGCTGCTACTGAGGAACGAACTACTCGTCGTAACTTCTTAGAACTCCAATCTACTATCCATACAGGGGATTCCTTGTTCTTCATGATGTCTTTGGTCGTAAGACATAGGATGTATCCACCTTGACTTTCACCGTTAGCTCTAGTACACCAGCCAGCATCAGCAATACACACGATGTGCCAATCTTTTACTGGAACGTGGCTAGGGAATTTCAAACAGATTTTTCTAGTTTTCATTTCCCTCACGGCCTTGTTGTACAAGTGGACGTGTTCAACTTTCCCCTTATCCTGAACCCCTTGAAGATACGAAGCCAGGAATGCCTGTTCCGGACGTGTCGAGTTCGACACCCAGGCTAACTGACCGGCGCAAGTTCTAAGGATAGAAGGATCTGTAAGGGACGTTGAAGCGTTTCCCAAAGTCTTCGTTTCAACATGTTCCAAATTCTCGATGTAATTTTCTTGTCCTACTTCAATTTCCATCGTATTTGGATTTTGTCGAATCTCTACTCCTGTATATCTTATTGTGAAAGTACGATAGTCACCGAACGGCAATTTCTTTCGGAGTCGGTCCAAGGCTTGGTCCATTTCCTTGCAACCTCCACCTAGTAGGTCATCTACGTGTACTCCACATATGCCTTTCAAAGTGTTATCGGACTTACTCCTCAACATAAACAAACATGGATCCAACTGGCTCTGGGTTAGCCCTGCTTCCTTAAGTTCCCTGGTCAGGCGGGAAAACCAAGCACGCGGTGCCTCAGCCAGGCCGTAGGCAGCCTTCTCAAGACGAAACAGGTCATCTGTACTCAAGTTCATCCATTGTTTGATTTCTGCTGGAGGTCGAAAGTAAATGTTTCTGCAAGATTCATCACCTGACAAAAACGCTGTTTTTATGTCGGCTCCCCATAGCTTCCACTTGGATGCTGAACAAATGGATAGAACAAGGTGCTTTGTTTCCTTACGCAAAGTTGGACTGTCTGTTGCTACCTTTCCTAGGTCCGGGTCCTGCCATCCTACCAAAACTAGACGTGCTTTTGGAGTTTTGGATGTGATATCAGGATCGGATGACTTTTTCCATACCAAGACCCACCTTGCTCTAATTATTCTTTCTGTAGGAATCCCTCTAGCCTTGCAAAGTGAAGTCACCTTATTGTCAATCCAGCTTTGCCATTCCTTTTGCATAGCTTGGAGAAACAGTTTCTTGTCGTGTGGATTGAGTTTGCGGAACTGGACTTCAACCCTTCCTTGCTTCGCCTTGGACTGCGGCGCAGCTTGCAAGCATTCTTCAAATTCCAGAGACACAGAGGATTCTCAGTGATGTCTTCGGGATGGACGTCAATGGAAAGTTCGAACACATGTTCTGCCTGTTGCAATCTGGCTGTTACCGCTAGTTCGTCTTCACCAGCTTCTGGAACGGGAACATCTATGCCAGATGGTTCGATCTCGTTCGATCGTGAGTCTACTTCAGGCATTACTTCATCGGTGTTATCGGGTCTATCGGATTCGGGCGGATTAGTGTCTGTCTCTGGTTCCAGGTGTGCAGGTACAGCACCTGGGTCAGGCATGAGCTCATCAAGCTCGTTGTGCATTTGAAAGCCTGACTGAGATCCCTCTTCTTCAAGAGGAACTGGCGGTTCGGTGGGTGCATAACTTGGAGATGAATCAATTTCAACAACCCTTCTACGTTTATCGGCTGGCTCAAGTCTATCCTCGGGGATCTCTTCAGGAGCAACAGCGGCAAATGGCTGCTGATTCAACTCTTGTTCATGCATACTGCCGAGAGGTGGAATCTCGCCTCGTGATCTCTTTTGCCAATATTCAGGGGAACGATAGAATCTGCGTCTTATCTTATGTGGTCTACCCTCCGAATCAGGTCTGTCATCGATGGTCTCAGGATGAGGTTCGGCTTCTACATCTTCCTTGAGTTCGAAGTCCTCTGGACCAGGGATGTCCTTTGTGAGATCATGAAAACGAGCGACGCCCTCCGACAATGATTTACCTGCAGCTTCCGTTTCCGGTGCCAGCTGGCCTAATGCAAGTTCTCTTGCAAGCGCTCGAAACTCAGTTTCGTCTTCGGACATTGGACGGAGGCCTTCTGGTCGACATCTATAGAGATAGCCATTATAGCTTGTCCAAACTAGGCGTGGTATGGGACGATTTGATGAACTTTCTACCCCAATTACTTTGGCAGGTCCTAACCACTTACCATGTCTTGTGCTAAGCTGACCTCTTCCTGCTGCTCGAAACATGTATACAAGTTGACCTTGTACGTATGGTCCTCGCATGGGACGATGTCTATAGGCTACAGCTCTTCGCCAAACATCCTTCGCATGTTCTTCATGAAAGGCCTTGGCCGCTTCTTCACGAAGGCGAATCTTGGATGCAAACGATGGATCTGACAGGATTTGCGACTGGGCAGCAAAATTTCTTTGCTCATCCAAGTCGGCAAGCATTCCCACATGGCGTGAGTCCCTTCCCAAGAACCATTGTGCTGGGCTGAAACCATGCTTTCGAAGTTGTTCATTACGGGTTGTTGCACACATTTCTATTACCTCCTCTGGTGGACGGTCAGTGCCTGGCCAACAACGATTGGCCATGTTCCTGAGAATGCGATTGGCAATTTCAACTTGACCTAGCTGATAGTGTGCTTCGGCAGCCGCATGCAACAACTGAATGCCATGGTGTGTTAGGTACTCTTGGAAATCCTGGGAGAGATTAGTCTTGGCAGGGTCCATGAATATTATCTTAGGAGTGCCGTAGGGACGTGTCCACACCTTATGGAAAGCTACTGACAGCTGATTGGGACCGCGTTCAACGATGATCTGTTGTGCGAAACCTGTGGCCATATCAACACATGTCAACACGTTGATCTTGACTTCGGTCATTTTCCCATTACGTCCCTCTCTCTTGAGTTCTACTTGAACAAAATCAATACCCACTATGTCATTCGGGTTCTCTGCATGGGGGATTGCACTCTTACGATATGACGGTGGAGGCTTGAGTTCATTACAAATGGGACACTGGAAGTTCCGAATGCAGTCCACAATTTCTTGACTGGCTTGGCAACGGTTCGCGAGCCTCAACATTTGTTCTGTCGATGCATGACCTGTGTTCACACGCAATTTACGAACCAATGCGGACACTCGCAGCTGCTTGGGATTCAAACTTCGGCTGTTCGAATTTGGCTCGTCATGGTCTGGCAGTCTCTCTGATCGATCTTCTATCTCTTCTTCTAGTTGATCTTCTTCTTCATCTTGAGCTAAGATCTCTACTGCATCTGGACCCGAATGTCCATGGAGACTTTTGGCAAGACCATCGGCCATGACACGTGCAAACTTATTAGGATATGTCTCGGCCCAGGATGTCAGATTTCTACCTTTGTAGTTTCCTTCTAGATGATCATGACCATGCTTATGATCGCACCGTAATGGGACAAGGTGCTGCATCAAAGACTCCTGAGTGCTGACAATCCGAGTTGGCTTCAAGACAGGGATGTTGGATTTGGGGCTACGGAGCCCGAGTGCACATTGGTCAATTCGGATTGACCAGGCTGGTCCAAGTACTAACTCCTGCCACATATCGGACGAGTGCGGATTCTCAGCATGTACATGACCTCCAAGGATGGTTTGGAGATGCCATGTTTCCGAAACACATTGCAGATGTCTTCCAGCTTGATGTCTCTTTTTCAATACTTCTTGTTTCCTAGACTCGGAAAATGCCATATTGAACCTCGACCAGGGACCCCAGCACTTACATGGGGGAGCAAACCAAATGTGATCAGGCTTTGTCAAGGCTACCAGGTATAGGAGATTTCGTCTATCCCTCAACCTACCAAGATCATGTCCATAATCTATCCCAATTTGGATTGCTGTTTTCTGGTTTCTCTTTTCGAACTGTTTGGACAAATTGGCTGTTCCTGTGAAAACTTCTATGAGTCCAACCTTGGAGTCAAGTTTACTAGCCTGGTTGCCCAACCAGTGGCGAAGTTCTGAAAGCACTTCCTGCCGATTGCTCTGCAGTCGCGACAAAGCCATGCGTACACCGACACGGCGTGCAGCTGTGATTGCGTCTTTCAGTTTCGTTTGGGTTTCTTTTGGAACATCCTGCAAGTCAAGATCTACCCAGTCAACCTCTTCATACAAAGTTTCGAGGGTGTTTGATTGCATGGTGTATTCCCAATCCCCTTCTATGTCATCATACAACAACAATCACATTGGTGCGCTGATGGCGTCGGCTCTGCTGGTTCGACACGATCGGACTCACTGCCGGCACTCTCAGGTTCAGAGGGTGCTTGCTCGGATCGAAATGCAAAGATCGCAACCTGCATTGGGTTGACAGGTCTTCTGACCCGTCCGGCTGGACGAACGATCCATCCTGACATGTGCATGTTTCCATCTTTATCCATAGAGACTATCTTCATATCAAGTGAAGTTCGTTCGGCTTCGGCAGGAATCCTTTCTAGTCTAGGTTTATATGCTACATAGGCATGCACCACCGGGTGTTCGGGACATGAAAACAATTGGGACAGCTCGGCACGAAAAGCACTGCAATCGACGTTTCCTCGTTTGGTATGTTTACACACAGTTTGAAACGCCCTCCGAGTATCACACGGGGTTGGCTCCATTTTTGGTGCACTTAAAACACTGTTTTTGTTCGTGTCCTGTCCTCTGAGTTCTTGGTGGTGCTCGAGATCAACGGAGATGGACTGGCGGTCCATCGCTTGGGCTTCATGCGGATTGGGCTCATTTGTATTCGAGTCGTTGAGGACTGTCTCCCACTCAGCAACCTGTGGCACCAGAGACAACAGCAGATGGCCATTTGCGGCCTGTTTCAGGGGTACATCTTGCATACCATGTTTTGGACTCGTGATGGTCATTCGGCCCAAGTCCAGTGTGGCCTGCATACCCTCCAACACCCTTCGTGACAGCAGGAATGGCGCGCTTCCAGGAACAACATATGTCGTGATATTCCCTTTCAACGAACCCAGCTGTACTGTCCACTTCAAACCAACAGCTGTTGTTTCGCTCTGATCATTGAAGCCACGAAGCTCAACTGTAGGCATTGTGACACGCACGGGTGGAGGAAAATTGCATTGTCTGAAAACCTGCTCATATCTCTGTGCTGTTTCCTCGCCAACAACGGATGTTGTACAACCAGTATCAATGATTGCAAAACCCGATGGAATTGAGGCCAGGAGAATTTCCAGTTCAGCAGCGGTGGACTCGGTCAGGGCATAGTTGAACTCGGTCAATGTCCTGTCAACAATTTCCACAGCTTCTGTCAGGTTGGCGTCCTCACGCCTCGGTGGTTTCTTCTTTGGGTCCTTTTGTGGCGACTTCTTGTCAAAGGACCTTTTCTCATAGCGTGGTGTTTTGGACGATGCAGCCTGAGTTCCCAGTGGAGCCTGGGACTGGCCGCCTTCGGTGGGTGGAATGGCCACCACCGGCATGTATGGTTGTCGTGCTCTTTTGATTTCCCTCACCTTCTTCTTTGACTCCTTGTAGGTGCGAAACTGTTTCTTGAATTCTTTCTTTGCTTTCTTCTGAATCTCATAGATCTCCTGCAGCTCTTCCTCAGAACCTGAACCCAGAGATGTTTCGCCACCCTCAACTTGGTAGGCCTCTTCACCAGACCCGGAGTCAGAAAGTGGGTCGACGGAGGTGGATGAAGCTTCAGCAACTTGTTCAACAGCATAGGCTTCGCGTCGTGGTCTCACCTGTCGACGATCGTCCAGCCGTGGTCGCCGGTCATCCAATCTCTCCTCATAGTCACTAGCACGCAAAATCTTCTCAATGTCAACAAATCGACTGGAGCCGCCTGTTGAACGAATGATGTGGCTGCGTTGCTCACGCGACAAACCAAACTTTCTCATGAACAAGTGTCCCAAAACTGACTGTGGAAAAATCGGTTTTGGCTTTGTATGCGACTGCTCCAACGTTCCAAGAAGACGTCGCATACGGAGATGATCTTTTCGCTGGTCACCTTTCTGAGTCCCAGTGGACTTCCCCTGTGAAGCCTTTGAGCTCGACTTCGCACTTCGGACCGATGGAGTGGATCCGGTCCGACGATGAGGATCAAGGGGAGGATCAAAAGGACCTGGAGGAGGTGCTGCTCTGGCCTTGGCTTCTGGCCGGACTTCATCTCCAGCTTCTTGTTCAGTTTCATCAGTTTGTTCATTGGGATCGTCTGGAGGTAGGGCATGTTCGTCCGACTCTTCCAGACTACTCGAATCTTCCTTTTTCTTTTCTTCTTCGACTGCGGACTTCGGTTGCTTCTTCGACAGCTGACGCTCCTGTGAGATGAGCGTTTCCAGGCGATGCAGACTTGTCTTGAACCGGGATGTGAAGGAAGTGGCTCCCTCATGTCCTTTCCGCTTCAACCCAAAAAGGAACTCATCTATGGCCTCGTGGAGCTCGGTCTCGGGCAAATAACGGTAATGCTGATCAAGCGTCCGAACAATTTGCAGCCAGCCTTGTTCACATCGAAGGTCAGCAATTGGAATGTTTTCGGTCGCTTTCCAAGCTTCGCCAGACAATCTTCCGAGGACTCGAGGACCGGCCAGGTGTTGTTGCTTGTCCTCAAGGGATGCAACACCAAGGATCAGCTTGCGTCTGAACTCACGATATCCGCTTGGCTTCCCATCGAAGTAGAGGTCTTTGAGAGTGTCTTTGTAGTCCATGGCTCAAACTGCTAACAACAAACAACAATGTTCCACAACCAACAAGCAATGCTCAATGCTCAACAATCAACGTCAACTCAACCTTGCACCACTGCACAAGCAATGTACCTAGATGGCACGAGCTGCTCTGCGGTTTGCACCGCACCCGGGATCAGGCCGGGACCTCACAAAGCAATCCTGGAGCTTGGCAGCTCCGCTACCATGTAAAATGGTGAGCGGAGGATCAACAGCAACTTGTAAAGGCAACTGTCACAACTCAACCAACGGGGATCAAAGAACTCCGTCACGATCAAAAGCAAGCGGTGCGCTCACTTTTCCATTGCGCAACCGTCGGGGGCTCGGATGAGCCAGACTCAAGGGCCCTTGTGCCAAAATGGTCACATGAGAGGGCCGCCATCTCATATCATGATATGCATGTTCCAATGCATACAAATTCACAATATGGGATAAGCCTTTGGCCATTTATAGGCTCCACCTCCCACGCCAGGCCGTGCGGCGGCTCCTGGCCGAGGACCCGCCCGCCGCTTCGGAGCCCGACGACCTGGGCGTGACGCCCTTGATGTTCGCCGCGGCAGGTGGTGAGAGGGCGGTGGTGCGCGGTGTGTTGAGATGCGCGTGGGGAAATGGGCGAAATGGAGGACCTATATAGAGAGATGGCCGAATGAATTGAGGAAATGGGTGCTGAGTAATGGCTGCTGTTTGGAAGTCTATACTTGTCAGCGGATCAAAGGCCACTACCAGGACCTTCCAACAGGTGGTTTTTGGACACCCCTACTTAGCTCAGACCAAGGCTATTTATATATAGACACCTTAGAAGGAAGGTCCTGGTATGGTCCTGGTATATACATGGTGAAGGGGCTCAGGACGTCATGTGTCAAACCCGGGGTGGAACAGTGGAAAGCGGTGCACAACTGAAACGGACTCCAACCAATTCCGGGAGTCCAGTTTGATGACTCATGTTTTGTGGTGGTCTGACTAGCAGTTATGTTTGGTCTCCTGGAATTTCTGGAAGAAGAGTGGCATCAGACAGCCAGAAGAAGCGGCTGCAGAAGACCTAAGGCGTCCAATGTCTTTATCGTGACCATTCTGGAGAAACAGATCAAGGTGTATGGCGACTCCACAGTTTTGGACCGGATGAAGACCATGGCCCAACAGGAAAAGTGCAAACAACTTGTGATGTGCAAACAACTTGTCATATGAAGTTCATGTGTTCATCTTATACATATGAGGGCCGGGCCCTTTATACATGACAAGTTGTTTTCGCAGTTGGATGTGCCGGCCAAAGCACCAGGCTCAGACTCAAAAGGCCTCCCAAGCATGGGCCGGGCGGCAAGATCTCCTCGATCACCCCAGCAGGAAGCACAAGAAAGGTCGAAGCAGGACGAATGCGACCCATGGGACTGCCATGTCGGACTGCCGAGAAACGGCCAGGGGTGGTGCCAGGGGGGTCTGGGGCGGCAGTCCGTCCTGGCAGTCCCACGGAGTGTATGGGATACCGGGATACCCATGAAACGCTTGTGCCCGGTTTTGTTTGCTACAGACCTCATCATACCTCTATACTGTTCTGGGTATACGGGACAAAGATGGACAAAGTTCCTTTGGGCACCAGGAGCATCCAAGGGGTGCCCAATGGACTACCCCACACTACCTATAGGCTTCCATTGGGCACCCCTTGGATGGTCCAGATGCCAGATATGGTTTCCTCACACTTATCCAGTGGATCCCAGGTGCAATCACTAGAGATTCAGGAGCTTCTCCGGCCGCAGCTTCGGGTCTCGTTGAGATTTTGGGTTGAGATCTTTTTAGGTAGAAAAAGAAGCGCGAACGACTTCCAGCTTCGGACCTGGGAGTCCTGGAGATTGCCACTCTCAGATCCACTTCTTCGGGTGAAAGAGCGCCCCCGCGTAGAAGGGGCGGAGGGGGGCCAGAGTGGTCCGGAACAGGTGGCTCGGTGGAAGTCTGCGAGCTGCTTCTGGCCGCGCAGGCCGATGTTTCCTCGGAACCCGCGGGGCCGCGGCGGAGGGGTCGGGCATGACGTTTGGGGGGGCACGGCGGCCGCGGGGTGGCGGACTTGGTGGCGTAAGCTGGGGGTACTCAGGAAGAAGGTCGTCGATTGGTGGTGGACGTGGAAAGGCTGGTTGGTCCGGAGGAGGGCACAGCAGGGCGACCGAACCCACGACTGGGGTCCGACTGGTCCGGCCCCGGTCAAACGTGAGTCTTTATCCCAGACACGACCCATGGGACTGCCATAGGACTGCCGATCAGGCCAGGGGCGGTGCCAGGGGGGTCAATGGGGCGGCATATATGGCAGTCCCATGGAGTGTTTGGGTATGTTCGTGTTTGCTCTTTGGGAGGCATTGAGTGGTATGTGGGGCATGATCAGCTCCAGTAAAAATATCGCAAGAAGTGAATGATGTTTTTGACCTGTTGGAGGGTCCCAGCAAGCTTTTTGGTTCAATAGATTGATTTGATGGATTGAGAGTACCAACACCCAACAGGTCTTCCGTGGTGGCTTTTGGTGACTTGTTCAGGTGGCAGATGGTGACCTGTGAAGTCGAGTGCTGGTAGATGGCACAATCCCCAAAGTTGGTGGTTTGTATGGACCCCCAAATGTGTCTAAGTCACCTTGGAGGAGAAATGCAATTTACTTTGAAACGACCTGTAGGGCAATGTGAGTGACATGTGCGGTGAACCCTCACTCACGTTCCATACCCAAACTGAAGGATTAGAAGGCCTGCACTGATTCGGTCGGCTTCCCAAGCTCCAACTGACCCGTTTGAAAGTCAAATCTTTTGAGCATGCTGGCGCGGAATCATCGGATGCAGCATCGCATGCATCACATCACTTCTCGCAGCATCTTCGAGAACCTCTTGGGGCACCAACATCGCACAAGCACATACACCCACGGCATCCATTTTTCTGCGTCTACCACTCAACCCCCGCCCGTTCCTTCCTCCAGAGCACGGCTCCAGGCCTCCTTGGAGAGCGTCACCTTGCTGGGCTGGACGGCACTCACCCGGGCCGCCCTGCGGCAGCGGACGGCGGTGACCCAGTGGCTGCTGGAGAGGGGCCAACGAGCTCCGGGATCGGATGCAGAGAGGGTGGGGGGCAAAACCTCACTAGACCCTAGGCCTCCCAGTACCTGAAGAGGTACTTGGAGGTGTAGGGATAGTGAGGCTCACGAAGCTCCAAAACCGGGGTTCAACGATCCGATCGATCGATCGCTGCGTTGCGCCTTGTGGTTGTCTGCTTCTGGGCATGGCACCCATGGTGCTTTGGTGGGATGTCTCTGGAGACAATGCTCACCCCCTGAGCGGGGTGAGCTCCGCCCTGCTAGGGGTGTCAAAGCTTATAGATCATGAAGCTACCAGCACCTGAAAAAAGGGGGTTCACCGATGGAAGCCCCTACACTACTAAGGCACCTCCATTGGACACCCCCTTGAAGGTCCAGGTACCATGTTCAGATTCACAATCGCGAGAAAGGTAGCGTACCTGGACCTTCAAGGGGTGTCCAATGGAGGTCCCTTAATAGTGTAGGGGCTTCCATTGGAGATCCCTTTGAAGGTGCTGGTACGTAATATTAGCGTATCATCGTGCCCTGGGATTTCCCCGCGTCCAGGCTCACTCGGGGGTGCTTCCGATAGGCGAAGAGGTCGGAAGTCTTAGTGCGAGAGCATGAGCCTTGTGTGCAAGGCCGGGTTTTTTGCCGGTCTTTGCATGTGCATGTGGGCTGGTGGGACGCATTTTTGGGCCGTACTTCCTCCGAGGGGAGGCATCACCGCCGTGGAATTGCGAAGACCAGGGAACGCCCCCTGGTCTCCTGAGGAGAAGGAACGCTCGAAAGAAGGAACGCTTGAAGCGACTCTCCGAGCGGAAAAAGGAGGAGAAACAGATTGCAAAGCTCCAAGGATCAGCTGAGTTGGGGAGTGAACCACAGAAGAAGGATGATCCCACTAAGTCTAGGCCGTGGGATAGTTGCTCGGCTTGGAGAGCTTGGAGTGGACCTGTAGATCCGTGATGAGGAGAGGCACAACCAGGAGTCTGATTGGGCTTGGGGCAGGCTGGACATTTCGTGGCAGGCACAGCACTTTGTCGACTGTGAAGCGCAGATTTCGTGACATTAACCAGGCATGGGTCACCAACGAAGAGTCTATATTGGCCTTCTTCCAACCCACTTTGGATCAAGTCTGCCTCTTGCCTTTGGCCGGGAAAAAACAGCAGCTACAGGGAACTCCTGTCACTTGTACACGGAATTCCTGAGCCAACCTTCAGGAAACTTGATCCCATCAAGACCATTATAAGCTATATATGGTAATTATAAGCTATATATATGGTAGTGACACAAAAGGCGGACACATCTTAAGAAAGAATCGAGAACCCCTAACAGTAAACTGTTTGGGGAAAAACTCGAAGAACCACAACAACGGTCCCAGCGGGCCTCCCCAGTGGCCACTGACCTGGGGCCTTTGGGAAAACGCCGTCGTGCTGGCAGAGACTTGTCCCAGAGACTGGGGCACTCGACTCCAGGTCCAGCAGCACTGTTCCCCAAGGATCCCCCCCAGACCAGGTGAGCCGAAAAAAGCAGCGAGGTGAGCCGGCATCAAGGTGTTTTCTCGTGTGGCCTCACTGAATGCTGAAGAACCAGAGTGAAACGCCGGCCATTTGTGATCCCTAGTTGGAATGAGAGTGTGGGCGGACCAAGAAAACTAAAGCGATCAATGAGTTTCTTACGTTCGTGTTTTTTATAACTGCAACGCTTCTTGGGGAACCCCCTTCCTGGGAGCACGCCCTTTTGCCCAGGTCCCTTGACATCCAATAAAAGCACCATCCATCATTAAGTGGCCCCCAGCAGGTCGAATCTTACCAACATATAAATCATGTACACCAGGAGTCACAAAGGGGCCAAAGGGGTGGTTTTTAGTCCCATCCAGTGAGTGGATGTGACAGGGGCACCCCAACTGCCTCCATGGATCGCACCCCGTCGAACGTGACTGCTGGTAAATAGGTTTCTGGACTTGCAGGAACCATCAAGATCAGCCCAGAACATATTACTATTGCTACTTCAAGGTGCAAAGGTGCAAAGCGTTTTGCAGTCACAGGGTTGTCCACTTGTGCTGCAATATGCATTGACCATTGGTGCGTTTCTCTTCCGAGTGGATCCACATGGTGCATTCTTGTTGAACTCCCACCTCAAGAGGATGGATCTGGTTCACGCTGGTTTACCATATTCATTCGCTCATACCTACTCGTTTGGCAGGCAAAACCGGTGCGATTTAGTGGTACTAGTCGGTCGTTGACCTGTAACGACAGATCTCCCTTCTTTCCACGCCCTTCCCTGGCAGAACGCCCTCCCCAGGGTCCAACCGCGTTTTACGGCGGAGGACCACAACCCACCGGCCACCGTGAAGGACAACGACCTAATGGTGGCGTGGCGGTGTTTGGGACGGTGGAGGGACATGGCGCCCAGAAAGGAATGCAAAGCCTTAAGACCCCAAGAGGTTAGCAGCATTGAGCAGCTATAGATCAAAAGGTGTAGTTACTTGGGTTCCATTCGGTTTTGTTCCAGCTGTTGGTCATCACCCACATCACCTTCCAAAGTGGTCAGGACCAATCATCCTCAGGTCTTGCCGGGCCCGGCGGCTTGGCCATGCGAGCGGGACACGTTGTACCTACCCTAGCCCTACAAGTCCAGTCTGACTCAGCAAAACCTAGCCTTTGACCTCCAAACGAGTAGTGAGTAGATCCCCTTGGTTGCGCCATACTGAAATCCTAGGGGTAGACCACCAGATTTCAGAAACAAAAACAGTTCAGAAAAAATCTCTAGAAAAAGGAAATCAGGTAGGGCCCCAGGAAATTACAGCAGAAATGAGGCTTTCTTGAAATCCTTTTGCTCAAGGTTAGGCGCCAGGATTCCAAAAACACATTAGACTACAGGATTTTACTAAAGCTGTAGGATTTCACAAGGTAGAGATACTGGGGTTGGGCTAGGATTTTAGAGATACTGGAGAGTACGCTTTTCGTGGACAATTTTTGTCAACCTTTTGCTGTGCCCCAGCTCCGAAACACACAAAGAAGCGGCACAATGCAACCAAACTCTCAAGCACAACGACACCCTGCAGCGGGACCAGCACCTACGCTCCAATGCGCACACGCCCACGCTTTTTGCAGCCTGGAAGCTTGTATCCATCGAAAAAAGATGTCCAGGGGGGATTCGAACCACAACGTCACCGAATCGCCTAGTGGTACGTCGCTCGAACTTCCCCAAAATTTAATAGTTTCGGAAGGCACAACACCTCCAAATTTCCAAGAATTTTCGTTGCAAAGCCTCCAATTTCCGGATGAATCTCGGAAACAAATTGAGTCTTCGGTCATTTTGATTTTCTCTTACCTTTGCACCGAAGCCCGGCGCACAATTTGAAACGGTCACGTAGGGGGTTTTGTCTTTCAGTAACAAATATGCTCGCTGTTTGGGAGGGCACTGGAGGGACCAGCTAATGTAGATACCCAGGATTTAGTTATGCATTTGATCAGCCTGGACTCCTTGTTTTTTCCTTGGTTCCCAACCCCTTGACACACGTTGGTCCAAAGTATTAATATAACAAGCACCTCTTGGGAAAAAAAACCTAGGGCACCACTGAAAAACTAGAAAATCACCTTGGTTCGGTAGGATTTTTAATACGCAAAATTGTGGGGATCTACCTTAACTTAGCTGCCGGTACCAAGGGGGATGTGAGTAGTGTACGACAGACTCCAGGAAAGTGAGGTCATTGACCTGTAGGGTATATAAGGTTCAGCGAATGGGGATTTTTGACCCAAGGAGGGATAGTGACAAGTGACAAGTCTTTCTTCGGCCCTTTTTGTACGGAGGCTTCGGAGTTTGGGGACTTGGTGGCCCTTCATGTGACTTCCGAGCCCAAAACCCACCTGAACTGGGCCGGGCTCTCCCCCCGAAACTTGTTCGAAGGCCGGGGATCCAAACCTTAGATACCATCCCCCAAGGAGCCCGTCACATTCATTGAAGTGCCCACAACATATAGCACCACGCACCACATGAAGGTCCTCCCCCCCCAAAAAAGAAGCCCGCCCGCGGTCGCTCTGAAAACCACAGCCGCTGAGGTGGTGGCTTTCACTGGAAATGACCAGACTTTCCGGATCCTGCTCGCCCACACGTCGGAGCCGAAGATCCTCCACGTGCGCGATGAAGCCAGGCGGGAGCCGGAGCGCAGCAGACCGCAGATGACCGTGACATGAAATAGGCCGATGGGACGGGACGGGACGCAGGAGCAGCTGCCCTGGGAACAGGGGATTGTTTGATTTTGTTGGGAGGAATTGGTGACACCGCTCAAATCCAACAGGTGGAACACCTAGACCTCTTAGTGGATGAAATTTCCCTTCGTTCTTACATGTTCCAACATCTGGGGCTGTGTACAGCATGAGTTCCGGTCGCAGTTTCCCGGTTTGCGGAGGAAAACAGTGTGAGTTCGGTTGGAAGAGGTCATTTCTTCAAAAGGCTCGAGGCTTTGGTTCACGGGTTATGGCTGCATGTTTTTGGTTTGACGAAACAGTGGATGACATGAGGGGAAAAACGGCGGATTGAGCGGATCGCGCACTGCAAAGGGAACATCAGAGCTCTCCTGCTCAGGAGGTCATTTTCTGGGTGCATTTGGATCGCGCTCTTTCAACAATATCCGTTCCCTACTAGTAACAAGAAGCTACTAGTAGCTCCTGGCATTGCTACTGGGAGCAAGAAGCTACTTGTAACAAGGGCCTCGTTGTTTTTGTTTAACCTCAGTCAGACTGGGCAGATCTGGTCGGCGAATTGCCTGACCGGGCATCTGACCAGCGTTTTTGGTCGTGTGGGAGGCTAAACCGGCCGTTCGGAGCGCGAGTTTCTCCTCGGTGTAGCTGGCTCTCAAGCTCTAGCGCTCCAGTCGTACCGAACCTCAGGTGAGGACGGTTCGACACTGTAGGTGCCAGGGTCCGTCGGGTCCAGTCGTTCCGAACCTGAGAAAACACGGCCGAAGACGGTGACTTCCAGTCGGCGTTGTCCTGCAGGAAGGGCTTGCTGCACTTTGCCCTCACAGGTGCCGATGTGACCGGTGTGACCGGCGGAGGGCCAAAGACCACCCGGTGGAGGTTTGTCAGTTATCCAGAATTCAGCATACCTAACCAACCAGCAACCAAACCGAACAAAAGAGGCCCTTTGTCCGAAGACCCTGCATTTTTTCTGGTTTTTGGATGGTCTTGGAATACATACCAACTTCACCATTTACCTTTGGGCACCTTTTGCAGATCGAATCTGTTGCTAGATCGAGTGTGGTCAGGTATGGTTTACGGGGGGCATTATCTAGGCCTCTAGGCCAGACTGAGTGAAAAGAACATCGGACAACATGACAAGATGGAACAACAGGAAATATATATACAGCTTCAAAAAATGATGGACGGGCAAAGTGGAACACCTAGCAGACATGAAAAGGAGAGACAAGCTGAATGAAAAGGTTGCAAGAAGGAGATTCAGGGTGATGGCGGCCTGTTTTGTACCACGAACTGTGCAGGACATCAAGGAACCCATGTGCCCACCGTGAAAAAACAAGACGTCGGATCAAGACGCTGCCCGCGCCGCATGGGGGACAGTGGAAACTGGTCTTGGCACCCTTTCAACAAATCCATATTTTGACCATTAATTCAATTCGATTTGTTCGAGCCTTGCTAGTTCACCTACCCAGGTCCCACATCTCGCAAACGCCCGATCTCACGAAAGAGGCCGAACCTAGAGATGCCCTTTGTCACTAGTAGCGTCCTTGTTCCTAGTAAGGCCAGGAGCGCCCCTACTAACTCTTTGCTACGTAGCGATGCCCCTTGCGAACCTAGTAGCTTCCTTTCGCACCTGGACGGCCCCTTTCGGACCCACCGACCTCTTCGTCTTCCACTGCGCCGGCGCCGCACGGCGCTCTCCGCGAAGGCTTGGCGTACTTGAAGCGCTCGGCCTCCTGCCACGCGCAGTGCGTCGCCCTGGCCATTGAGGCCATGGGGACGGCGATCTGTGGCGAGGCACAGAGGCGAGGCGATCGGAGGGAACGTGGTCACCCCGGTCGGTTGGTGCGAGGAAGGTGATGTTTTTGGGGTCACAGTGTTGGGGATGCAAATGGGTTTGGTGTGGTGTTTGGACTTGTAATTTGTATTAGGGGTTATATAGCCATGGTTTTATGATGTTTTATGTTTTTAGCAGATGGCATTTAGCAGATGCCAGAACCAAGAACTGTCAGAATCATCCAAACCTGTTGATAGATTTGGAGCATATCAAAGAGTCTACAGGCTAACATATGATGGAATATAGTTTAATGTTCTTTCATCAAAGCGACACTGCCCATGAGCAGAATTACCGCCAGATTGATTTACATAAGCATCAAATCGCCTTCAAAGGACTTGCTCAGTAAGGTTTAAGGACCCTTATATACTGTAAATGATTGGTGTTTTCAAATCCTTAAGTCTATAACATCTTTAAGCTTCCAAATCGTTTCAACATATCTATCATGACAACCACTGACTGACACTGCTCCCTGCTCCCGGCCTGTTTGTTCGGAGGCGAAGTGTGACCCGCGCTCCGAAGACGAGCGTTGCCGCCATCTTCGGTCGGAAGGCCAGCGCTGGGGTCGACGGGATGGGGCAGCGACCAGAAGAAGAAGAACTGGGACGGCTTTTTGGAGCGGACATCCTTCCCAGACACGACCGCCATCTGGGACTGCCGGACTGCCGAGTTTCACGGCCGATCGGGGTGGTGGAAAAGGGGGGGTCTGTCTGGGGCGGCAGTCCTATGGCAGTCCCATGGAGTGTCTGGCGTTTGGATTTTTTCGTGGATTTTCAGTGATTTTGAAGCATCCAGGATGCTTGACCTTGCTGGAGGTGATTTGGGGGAGCTCTAGTTTGCCCAGATTCGTCAAGTAACTGAAATCTCCTAGGGAAAAAAATGCACGAGCTTGGAACAAATATGGGAAGAAAGGACTGGCTATTTTCCATGGAGCCATAGAGGTGTTCACTGTGGACCTGACAGCCTCCCAATGGGGAACCACCACAATGACTCCTCAGTCAAAAACCTCATGACCCCGTAAATGGACTTGAGTGGCGTGTCGCGTGCTGGCTGGGACGGCTGCGGACGGTGACTTTGAGGGCTGAAACCGGCGCGGCAACAGGTATGGAACGTTTTAAGTGCTCAGCGGTTCCCTATTGTTCCACGTTCCATCAAATGAACTACGTACCAGGAGTCATATGTCGGGGTGGTGTTTAGTGCCATCCAGTGAGTGGATGTGACGACGGGGCACCCAACTCCTACCTCCATGGATCGCACCGCGGAGCTCACGTGACTGCTGGTAAATAGGTTGTTCGACACACAGACATGCGGCTGCAGCGATTTGTTTGTGCCAGGTTTCAACGAGGCCGTTCCGGTACTAGCGCATTTCGTCCACTGCATGGGAGTGCCTGGATGAAAGCAAGTGGGTGAGGAGAGTGCTGATGAGGTGGATGGAGTGATTCACTGATGGGCAATGCGAGTGAGTCAACGACATAACAAGTACTAAAGATACACTGACATAATCATGCAAGTCCATTCACTTCCATGATTGTTCCCAGGGTCACACTCACCCCCTGCCTTCATCCATTCTGGGAGGCCGGGAGCGATCCGATCCAATGGGGTGTCCGGCCGCGCTATACCAAGACGATGGACTGGCGCAAGCTCCATGGCTCCTCCAAAACCGCACCCTGTGAGAAGAAAGTCCTTGTTCCAATTCCTTGAGAAGTGTGTAGATATGGAAGCTTGGCCGAAGCTTGGCCAGGAGGTAATTTTATTCAGATGCTTTGGGGGTCAATGTGATGAAGATTCCGTACATGCCATGCTTTGGGAATGCCATGGCCGCAATAGTGGACCATCTTCGGTACCCTGCGATGGTGCAACGTCTGCCTCCTGCGATGCATCCATTCGTTGGCCGCTTCTCGTCCTGGCGTGATTTTGTCACACCACAAGGAAAACTGGGCCAACGACGGCCTGGATGAGTCCGAGGAACACCTCCAGATGGTGCAAAGGTGCTTTCTTTGCGCCGAGCGCGTGCTCGCGGACGCAGCGAGTCAACGTGCGTGGCACTGCCGGCCTTCTTTTAGGCCAAGAGCGGATCAATTAGAGCCAAGTGATGGACCAGGAAGTAGAACAGACCTGGAGTTGCACATGTTAGAGTACTAGTTCGAAAGAGTTCCATGTGTAGCTCTGGGGAGGCTATTCCAAACCTGGGAGGCCACTGGTCAGCCCTGCATCCTTCGACTGGTCGAAGTGCAGGTTTACGCACTGATTCAACCAGACCATTTCGGCACATTGTGATGTATTGCATTTTCAACATACAGCCCCCCAGGAGTTCCCTTTTTACTCGAGTGAATGAAGAAATGGGCCCTCGAAAGGCCGCCACCCAACTCCACAGAGCTCCTGGCTTTGGCTTTTTCCTTCATAAGAGGTCAACGGTTGCAATGAATGATCCCTAATAATCGACTGGACTATTTGCCGCCAACACTGGGGTAATTTAACGATGTTTTTCACTCCTTGAAATACTTGATCATGGAAGTGGAAATGCTCCCTTGGATGTCCACCTTCATCTACATACCACAAACATTTGGTTTTCCACTTCCATCATTTCTGGCAGTGTAAGGGTCAATGTAGGTGAATATTCCATGCGTGGATGGTTAATCGAAGCCGCGAAGCTGCTACCAGTGAAGGAACCCCAATCACCACCTGGAAACAAAACCCAACGGCTGCACTGAGCTGGGTTCCAGAGCTGCACTCTTGCACCCAAACACAAGCAATGCCTGATCTACTGACTGAGCTTGGTGTAAACGGGAAAATTCGACACGGCCGTCTCTGACGTCGTTCAAGCAGAACGGGGAATCCAAGCAGACCATTTACAGTGGTTTCGGGGTAGATGGCACAAGTCCCCCAAGAGTCCGCATATGGTCCATAGATCATATAACGCCATAAGGCAAGGCTCCTCCATTTTTTGGGGATTGTGGCACCATGTGGCACCTATCCTCAAATCCACTGCGCGTCAACCTGTTTCAAGCCATTCATCCTGGACCAATTGGAGTTCCACACTGAAAAGAACATCCTCAACCGCCCACCGCCCCAGGCTGTGCCGTTTGCGGGCGGATGCGAACCTGGAGGGCCCTCATGGGACTGCTTTGCAGCTGGCAGAGCTGCAAGGATTTACGCGAACGCACCAGGTGGGGGCTCTCCATATCAAATCATATCAAGATACCTGGTGTATCCTGGTGTTGGTGGGTTGCTTGGGGGATTCTGCACGTGATATGCTGTGGAGGCATGTGCCATGCGATGCATGCCTTGACCAGCGTGTTTTGGTCATAGTAGTCAGGGGATTGTTCAGTTTTTTTTGATAGATTGATCAGGGCATTTGGGGACTGTTCATGCTTAACCTACACAATCACCATGCGGTCTGCGTGTATGATGTCAGTCTGCGTGTATGATGTCAGCTGGTGAGGCTTTGATGCGGCATGCTCAGACACTTGCCGAAGCGAAGGCCGATTTTGTGCGATGCGTGCGGGGTGTCATCTTGTGCGGGTGCTTGACATTGATCAAGCATCCATGTTCTGTCAGTTTTGATCAGCTCTTCAGATAGAGAAAAGCTATACAAGCGTGTCACCACTAGAAATAGGATGAAATAGGTTCCTATAGGCGCTATCGGCGCAACGCAGCTGAACGACCCAACACACTGAGTGTCTCAGTTCGGCTGACGACGACCCAATGGCACTATTGAATAAATCTTGGGGAATTCTCCCCTGCTATTCGGACCACATGGAACCCCAGTTCACCACGTCAGGTTGGTATGCGGAGAATGGTCGAAACCACCGGTCAATTCGACCCGGTTCCATGTGGTCCGTTTGCGGGAGGGTAGCTGATGGCCGTTCCTGGTCAAGGGAAGCAATGAACCAAATGGTGTTCAAGGTCGTCAGGGGACCTGGTTCACATGAGTCACACCCACCCCCAAGCATTCTACCCCTATGGATCCACATACCTTCTCAGGTACGGTGATTGGAGACTATTTATGTAGGCTTGGGGGGCCATAGGGTACATTGACCCCATTGACTCCCTCTTTCACCACCCCAACTGACCGCTTTGGCTCTGTCACTTTGGCCGTGTTTGGACTCGCGGCCCACCGACTCCCATGCCGCAGGTTCCGCAGCAGCCGCAGGTCCTAGTGCCGGCGCCGCAGAGGGCGGGTCCGAGCGTGCCGCGGCTTGGCAGGCTTCAGAAGCTGGTGATGCGGCTCGGCAGCACAGGGTCTTCGAAAGGGTGACCTGTGAGCCTTGGTGGGCTCCATGGCAGAGTCGTATTTTGCAAGAGTGAAGTTATATTGTGCATGTTTCAGTGTGGTTGCTTGGTTCGTGTTTTAGTGAAGTGATGCATGCCTTGAGATTGTATTGTTTTGTAGTTATTTTGGGTCTGTCCCATTACTTGTAACAGCTGTAACAATTATCACTAACTATCATCATCCACTGTTTCTGTTAACGGATATTATTCATGGATATACCGATATACCTGTCATATTCTTGCTTGTTGCATGTGTTTCCCGTTTGGCAGGGTCATTCATCAATGTGAGCGCCGTTTCAATCCAGGGAATGCCCTTTGCATAATCAACAAGCACCAATGCTTACCAGACTAGTGACTAGTCTCATGAACCAAGTAGTCCTCAAATCATTCTTTATTTGTTGTTTATGACTCATCGACCCTGGTAGTGCTGATATATTTCATAACATGGTCGACCACTAGGTGACCAGGCTGTCCAGGAAATGCCTTGACTTCAGGGGGCCAAGGGTCTATCGCCTTTGGACTTCTACCAGGGTCGAACGAGTCTCGTCCTCGTCATCCTCGGTCCTCAGGACGGCATCGTGCTGCTGCCGGTCGGTGTGAGGTAGCATCGCAGCGGTGCGCCGGCCGGTGTTTTCAAGGGAATTTCTGTTTGCAGGGATCGGAGATAGATACGACAGTAGACATGTTCTGGATGTCCTGGATGTTCGTCTTCAGGTTAACTCCTGCACTCAAGCCACAAGACCTCAGTTTGCTTGTAAAGAGGTTGACGATGAATGATGCTTTGGATAGGACTTGGGTCATTTGCCATTTGAGCGAGCAAACAGATCGGGGTTTATGGTTCATTGAGTGCATGTTTGCAGACCATTTGCTTTTATAGATCTTATGTGTGGATCGCTGTAGGAGCACAGTCGGATGTTTTCCATTTACCAGCAGGGGTTGAAGAGTGTCGTACAAGTGATTCAAGCCACACCGTTTTCTGGGTTCTCACTTGTTTGGAACTCTTTGGAATGGGGAATGCATTGAGAAAAGGATAGTTGATGACAGTTGAAAAGGCATTTGGACCCGCTGACACCCCAAAATAATGAACACAAATGAAATGGCCAGTTCTTGCAGTCCAATTCGAGCTGATCTGGCTAGTTGGTGGAAGAAATAGACCTTCTGACGCTCATGGACCCGAACATACGGAGGGGTCTGGGGAGCACCAATCTCGATCGGTTCTTGAGGAGTGTTTTCACGGAGTGTTTGGGTAGACGGAAGCAATCCCAGACACGACCCGTCTGGGACTGCCATAGGACTGCCGATCAGGCCAGGGGTGGTGCCAGAGGGGTCAATGTATGGAGCATATGCCACACATGGAGTGTCTGGGAATAAGACATCGATGGAGATCTATCATCGAAATTCGGTACTCGGCCAAGTCCAGGTGCATCGGGGGATCGGCGGTTTTTCCTGGTCACACCGGTTCCCGCGTACGTCAGGCACTGAAAGCAAGGATCTCCTTGAGCTGCTCAATGGGAACTGTGTTGGCCGCCCTAAACAGCTCGCCATACTTCACCTCGGTTCTTCTAACAAAAAACACAGCAGACACCATGCTCCTGCAGAGGGATTTCCTTTGAGAACGGCCACAGCCAATGCACGCTGGCGCGATGCTGGCAGACTGCGCCCCTGGGTGTGAAGAACAAAAAGGATGCAAGATGATGCAAGACTGATGTGTTTACCCTGGGAGTCCAAGACTATACAAAGATATATACAAAAGAATGTTCTGACTAGTTCAGGAATTGCCTTTACTTCAGTCGGTCAACAATTTGTCCAACTGGACTTCTAGGGGTTCTGCTCAACCTTTGCCAACGTCGTTTCTAGAGTCGTTTCTGTTTGGCCGGGCGAGAGCGGAGCCCATCCCGTCGCCACTTGGTCTCAAGCGGCACCTGCGCCGTCCGGGGCAGCAAGCTGAGGCGGCTGGGGCTGGGCTGGCTTAGCAGGTGCTTGTCGTTCTGGTCAGACTCCCGGGGGCTCCAATCACCTCCTCAGGTTCGGTGGTTAGACCCCCCTGACACAAACCCCCAACCATCAAACCTCAGGTAGTTGGAGCCCTAGGGGACTTGAGTGACTTGGTTGGTTGCTTTACCGACCCCTTCAGCTCAAAACAGGCTGCTGCACCTGTTTTTTTTTCACTTCTTGGTGTCTTTCTCGGAGAGACACGGATCTCGCCACGGCCGCGAATCAGCATGATGACTGCTTTGCAACGAGACAACAAGCTCCACCTGGCAGTCGCGCTTGGACCCACCTGAATCGGGGTGCACCTTTCGGGTGTGATGAAAGACTTGGCGACTTCTTGATTGCTGCAATTCCATGCAACAAGAGACACCGGTAGAACACAGCTGCGGGGTGACTTAACAGCGGTTCCCTGTACCACGGGAAGAAGACATACCTGGACTAGCCCTGTTTGGGTGTCCTGGCTAGAGATATCGGTCGCGTCCGTCGTCCATGGGGTCCGTGCCCATACTCGTGCAGAGCGAGTGATCAGAGGTGTGCTTAAAATGGTGTGCTTTCAATCAAAAGGCTAAGTGGCATGCAAAGTGGCTCAGTGGTGTGCGGTGTTGGTATTTTGCGGCACCTGGGGCCGGGTTTTTACGACTTGGTCTACGTGCCTCGCTGTGACCGTGAGACTTCTCCTCATCCAGGCTTTACAGGCTTTGGCAGGGCCTATGTGAGTTTTTCGGGAGTGTAAACACTAAACCCTTTTTGGGGGGATCGACCTGGCAACCCTTTTTTTGAGGGCCTTTGGTTTCCCCGAGTCTGACAAGAAGCGGTGGGAAAGAGGTGAAGCCTTTGTTTCCCAGGAAACTGAGGGAGTCAGAGCCGGGAGTCGCTGCGGTGGTGGTTGAGGATATCCTCCGTTGCGACAAGGGCGGATTCACGGCAGGGCCGGCTTTGGCCGCCGCAATGGCTCAAAGTTTCCCAAAGCCTTGCACTACCACCATTTGTCTCTCCTGGTAACAGTCATCGGCACTCAAGCCTTGCACAAACGAGAAAACTTTTTCAACACCTTTATCGATCGCAAGTCATCCACTTCCAGGCAAGGGCCAAACAGATGCATTGTTGGCTCTAAATTCCTGATGTCCCCGACACCATTTCCTGCACCTGCTGTAACCAATTGCCATGTCAAGCCTCTTCCAAAAGCTGCAGCTCAAGCCTGGCATGAGGCTCACGGTTTCAGGAGCTCCGTCGACGGACTACGCGGTGAGAACGGGCCGGATGTGTCAAGAGCCCTTCGCCGCATGCGACATGCGGCGCTCGGGTTTGGTGAAGCTGCCAATTTCTGCGCGCGAGTCGCGACATTGGGCCCTATAGGCCTATGGATCGACCCACCGTTTGAGAAGGTGAGGACGGAGACTATGTAGGCGCCAGGAGGGTCTAGTCGTACCTTCTTCTCTATGGAGGTGTCAGGTGAAGATGTTCCTCAGGCGTCCCCACGGCTCTGCGAATAGTGGGGGCCAGTGGCCCTCCTACCAACTGGTGTGACATGTCTTTCTTCAACTGTCGGAGAACTCATTCCAACAGACACATGTTTGTTTTTTTTTCTGGACAACCCCTGAATGGAGAAGGACTTCCATGTCTGCACATATTTGTCAGAAAGGGACGCAGAAGGAGGGTAGCATGGTGGTGCCTGACTGGTCATACATGCAGGAGCTCCCCCAGAGATGGCCAAGATCAAGAATGAGCTCCTTGGTTTGGCCATAAAGACCTGTTGAGATCTTGTATATTTTGTTGACCACCGGCATGTCGCAGTCAGAACTGTATTATATCAGCCCATTAAAGCCAATTTCTGGGCTTTCAGATAGGGAACGCCAGGTTTTGGTAAGGGTATATCGAGACAAAGCAATATCCAAAATGCCAAGCAAATCTTCTGGGTCATTCCTCCATATAGCTCCCATGAAGGCTTACACGCAGTGCTGGCACATCGAAGTCAGAACTTCCCTCCGCTCAGCTTTACTTCGTGAAGAGCTGTGCGCAGATTAAGAAGCTTCTTGACTGATCTTGGCTGCAGGATGTTTCTGCGTGAGCATGTGGCACCAAACGATGTCTGAGACGTAGGGGGTGTTACTAACTATATAGGATCAGGATAAGGGCCGGGACGCCTCACAGTTGCTGTCTCCTAACAAGCTTTATCAAGCAGTTCCATCAAGAAAACAGGGTGCTATCCATGGAGGAAGGAGTTTTTTCGCGCCCAGAGCGTCACATCTACTCGCATCCACTGTGACATCCACTACCACCCAACTCTATGTGACCCCTGGGATGGGCTTTAGGCCCGGTCCATATCCCCAGGTGACCGGTGGTCTTCAACCCCCCTGGCACCCACCATAACCAACCATCTTACCGAAACGGAGGGGGGGGGGGGTGAGGAGCACCCAAACGGGTATGTTTGTCATAGGCAGATGTGTGGCAGCTGTGCCTTTCAGCCGAGACCACCAGCCAAGCATGGGTGTTGGCTCCACGGCTTAATTTGAACCAGATCAAAGCTGTGGTTTTTGGCTGTGTGTGTGTTGCTTATTGAAGGGCGATGCTTCTTTTCCGCAAATGGGGTTTAAATCCTCAGGTTTGATTCTTTCACACCGGCTTCGCGGTGTCCCAAACCAGCAAATTCATATGAACCCCTCCCACCCCCTCTCTGGATGAGTGCTTCACATCTCATGGGTCGACCCTGTCGCCCTCACACTCAGACTGGCGCCCTCGGCCGCGAAGAAGGCTGGCAGCGAGGGGCTGCTGTGGATCGCCTATCCCAAGACGCTGGGAGGGTCCACAGGGGGGATGGGTCCAAACTTGGAACCCCTGGCCACCATGTAATTAGCTGCGTACGCAGCGAATTGACCTATATATGGGGCACGTCGGTAGGTCAGCCAAGGCTATCCTGGCAACATGACCCACTGCCATGGTCATTGCTATAGCTAGCTAGCTGATGATTCCAGAACCTTCACATCAACAGCAGTAACCACTGCTATCAAGCGACTTCCTTTTTCCGCTCTGCTATGTAAGGTACACTTGGGACCAGAAATATTTGCTTAAAACTGATCTTTAAAACACCCGAACTGATGGGTAAGTATATGCCAGTCTCATGGAATGTTTGGGTATTAGGAACTGGGCCACTTTCACCTTCCACGCTTGAGGAAGTCTTCCAAGAAGTACCAATCCGACGTGGGCCGCGACGACAGCTTCAGCGCTTTTGGAAAGCTGAGCTACGAGAAGGTCGAAAAACCTTTAGAGAGTTGGACCGCTTCGAGTACTGAAGCTTGTGTTTGAACGGTCCGGACGCTCATCTCCCTGGAAATGGGGTGGGGCCCCGGGGATTGAACCAAGGGCCCCTGGGGATCGAGACTAAGAGTACCCAAAACACATGGAAGTGAATGGCAGGGTGCCAAGCCTCAAGTGCTCCCAAGTCGTCGAGCACGGAAACAGATGGAAGTGAACGGCATGGGCTGAATTTATATATTTGACTTTCCCAAGCTCCAAGTGCTGCCTGCACTCCAGCCTGCAGAGTTGCATTGAGTCACTTGTTACCCTGGGTTAGTCAACTTAAGCCCTACGGGATTTGGTATATGGTGAAAAAGACCACAGCTTTGTGGTTCCTGTCAACTCTCACGTTCTACCTCCCAGTACCCAAGAATTGAGGGGTAAAATTTGAATACAAGTCCCCTAGGGTTAAAACATGTTAATTAAAACTGTCATTGTTTTAGTTTTACTGAGGACTTGATACTAAAAGATCAGTTCGTTCCCATGTTTGGCCAAACTAAAGGCTAGGGGAACAGAAGCTTTTGTCTTGGTCGTTCCCGTTGTTCTTTGGTTCAAGAGACCACCAGGTGCGCATGGTAGCATTGGACGACGACTGGAGCGCCGTGCGCTTGAAGGCCGCGGCCCACATCAAGACGCTGACGCGGCGGCGAGAGACCTGCGACTCCGCGCTGGGCAAGCGCAAGGCGACGGCGACAGCGAAGGCAATGAAGGCGATGAAGTTGACCTGTTGTTTTTTTGGTACGTGTTTTTATTTTGATGTTATTTTCGCCTCCTTCTCCCCCTGTGAATGGTGAATCAGGCCGCTACGGAAGCTGAACGAAGCTTCAATATGGGTTAAGTGCATGCTTTTTGGTAACAGCGATCCTGATGCGTTCCGTTCGAACGCAGGTGATGAAGATGGTCAAGAAGAAGTGAGAATCGATGGACGCGTTTCAAAAGACTGAAGACCATCGCTGGGCGAAAGGATGGAGGTTTCAGCAGGGAGCCGAAGAGCCGAAGACGTAAACCACGGAAATTCCCTTAAAGCTCCAAGAGCTTCTTCTTTCTCCAAGCCTGCCAAGACCATTCAAGAAATTGGTTTACCTGGTTTTGTAGCATAAAGTCTTTAAGGAAAGAATGGCGGTTCGCTTTCCGCCTTTTTGCAGTCAATGGTGGACCAGGAACATTTTGAACATTTTGAGGCTTCGGTGCTTTTCCACACGCATTGGCCCGCTGATGGCTCACTCACCCGTGGGCCACGTGGGGCCTTGTGCAGAAGCATAGACTGCCCGGTAGTATACCTTTCTGGGTCTGTCAGTAAACGTGTTTTCAGTCGGTCAACGGTCTTATCACTTTTAAGATCGACGGTTGCATGGAAAACCCTCAGTTGTCCAGCTCGGAGGGTGACATGGAAGGGTTTGGCCCATCGCTGACTGGGACCGGTGTCTCCTGGGAAGCTCTTGTTGACTCTGGTGGTCGGGCCATCCACGTTTGGACTCCCTTCGGCCCGCTCTTCTCCGAAACTCAGTGGGACGGTGGGAGACGGTGGAGACTGTGAGTTCGGGGCTCGAAGGCGTCACCTGGAGATGGGCCCGGCCAGTGGCCTTAGGGTTGGAACAGGTTGGACCTTGGATCTTTCACCCTTCAGACGGGATGGAAGGGTGGCCATGTGGCCATGGTCCGAACGTTCGGGACGGCGATGATTCTAGACCGTTCGGCGGCCAAAAAGACGTGAACAAGACTCTAAGACTTATAAAGGCTTGTCTAGTCTTAGGGCGTCTCTTAGTAAACCTGTAACAGTGGGTAAAAGGTCCTATCACTTTTTTGAGATGGAAAGGCCTGCAACTGAACCGACTTTCATCCAAAACGGGCCCAGGGGAATGGGATATTGTGCACATCTGTACGCAAAGGTTTGATCTTGAGGCACATCACAACAAACTCCAAATCCGTCCCTTCTCGAGCTCGGTCTCAGGTCTCTTTCCGAACTCCTCTCTCTCGGTCGACTCCGAAACACCGCAGTCGACCACCGGACGTGTCGTTCGTTCGACACCGCCAGGGTCCGATGGCGGGAGGCTATTGCTGCATCGATTTCGACTCCCTGCAGCACAAGGAGCGGCGAAGCGACCGCGAAGAGGCTCGGCGAAGTACGGCGAATCGCGGACGAGAGGGTGAAAAGGAGATGCCATGCCCAATGGGTCAGTCCAAATCGACCCTGTTTGACTACTAAGGATGGGGAACCCACCAGGGTGAAAAGCGCGCCCAATTGGTTGACCGAGTTGGAGCACTGGTATGGGGTCCAATGGGAACATGAACTTGCCGGGTGCCCAAGGGCCCCGAACGGCACGAACGTGCCCTGTAGCTACCAGGACCCGACCCTGTTCGGGTCACCAATGGTTCGACCTGAGACAGGGTCCAACAAGCAACTAACAGCCTGGCCAGGAGGGTGCTTGTTCTGGGACACTTGATGATGGGCCCCGGCTGGGGTGAAGAATCCAGGGGAGGAGCCAATTCAAGTCCAGTCATGTCCAGTTTCTACCAGTTTGAGCGGCAAAGACATGTGCAACCTCGGAATAACCTGTAGAATCCTACAGTCAGATTTGGACGATGTCACCTTTATAGGACCTCCAAAGCTTTTTGGAGGGCCGTTTTCTTCTAACAAAGGATGTGTTCAACAGGGAACTGAGGAAGCTTTAAAAAAGGAATGCTTAATTAAGCCGAATGCATGTATTGACCGAAGGTGTTTCAAGTTGCTTTGTATACAAATCGCGCAGACTACAATAGATCGCCCCGGTTTGTATGGAGGACCTATGACCTATCAGCGTTTCCGTTTGAGACTCTTCTCATCGGCGGGCGTTTGGCTCAGCGGCACAACAAGCTGTCGCTCAGAGGGTCAGAGGGGTTCCTGACGCCTCGGGTGCGTGTAGAGCTGGCCTCGGATGGCAGCCCTGATCCCAAAGTGTGTCAATGGTAGCGTGTACCAGGCTGCTCGAGCTTTCTGTCGTCAAGAGATTCTGGAGAAGGGCAGCTTGGAGCTCTTCCAGCGGCTTTTAGCAGGGCCCCTCCCCCAAGGGCCGGATCGAAGGTTTCTTCGAGTTTCCCGTCCCTGTCAATTAGGGGATGGTTCCGCCATGACTCATAAACTCATATATTCTTGGGAAAGATAAAAAATCACCAGCCAGAGCAGATGTAGCGGATGTAATGGAGTGATCCTTGCCCTCAGGCACTAGTCGCGAAAGCCGTTTGCACACACCGTCAATAATTGCCACCGGGCAAGTCTTTGTTGCCAACTACTTGTGTTGTGAGGACCCACAAATCAGTCTTGGGAATCCAGCAGGGGCTCTTTTTTTCACATGTAGCTTCCAACTGTTACACTGTCACATCCAATTTTGTCCGCTAAACACTCAAATATAGGCTGGATTTCGGGTTTGAACGTGGCGGCTGTATGCACTCACCAAGCCAAAGAGTCTTTGGATGACTTTCCACCAGCCATCGTCTTCCAGGTCTCTGTGAGATCCCCAACTTCCTCACTTCCACCGCGGTCACGAAGATCTTATCCTCCGCGGAACGGGTGAAGGGCCTTGGCAAAGGCTTCCGGTCCTCTGAGGCCTCCGGGCTTGCCCCCGTGCGGGCCAGCGAAGCGAAGCTTTCGTCCGTGCACCTCAGTGTAGTTGGAGGATCAACTCTTCCGGATATGGCCCTCGTCCGAAGGCAAACATAGAGGGTCAAATATGATTAAATGGGTTGAAAAAGGGCTCCTGGAGCTCCTCCTAGAGTGCTTTAAGTGATGCAGACCATGAAGGAACTAGAAAGTGGCTTTGTGGATTCCAGGATCCCAGGCTTTCCGGAGTAATGATTGTTGTTCGATTAGTTTATTCTGAACAGGGATTGACATGAATTGACCGGGAAGCCAAAGATTTTCATACTTGTTTAACGAAAGTCGTTCGTGTCCTTTCCCTCCTGAGTTTCGCTGATTTGGATGTAATGACCACAGGCGAGCGCTTTTTCTCGCCCCACAGACCTGTTTCTTCAAATTCATTCTGGCAGATCGAGCAGTTTTGAGGGATTTCTCCCAATTTTCTTCGTGATCTTTCACCACACTGGGCCCAGCCTTATAAGCTTCACCAACCCCTTCCGCTCATCTCCTGGGGGCCTTCCGCTCGCGGGTGCGGCCCTTCCGCTCGCCGAGCCAAGCCTGCGAGGAGCACAACGTGTATCTGGAGGACAACGCGGAGACGACGACGGCGGTGGACACCGTGCTGCGTACGGTGTCCTTTCCCAGCTCGAAGGTTCTCTTGAACCAGGCAGAACTTTGGCTTGAAAGCAAAGAATCCGAACGGCCCATCTCCTCAGGTGACCGGTGGTATTCGAAGATGCATTTGACCTCCTTGGCACCCACCCCAACCACCTTAAGTTGCTGAACAATTGCTGTCCTTGGGTGTTTGACGGTTCATGTTCCTCATGGACCGGGAAAAACGGCGATGTCCCTCGCTGCGATGTGTTTTAACGGCATCGACAAGACCCTGCCAGGTTATGTCAGTGGGTGCACTATCCCAGAAAGCATCGCAGACGAAAGGGTCACGGGGTCCTGGGGACATTCATTTGCAGGTGTCCATGATCCAAGAATGTTCGCATCACAAGCAGAAACCACTCTGGACAAGAGCACATTCCTGGACAATCGTGCAGGTGTTTGAACGGAACGCCAGTTTTTTTTGCCACGAAAGGGCTTGCGGAGTGAACCTCTTCTTAGATATAGAGGGTCGTTTGGAAGATTGGTGACGAATCATGGTGAATTCAACGTGCAGGTAGAATTTGCTTATATTGTGGGTTTGTCCCATTACCTGTAACAGTCAGTAAGCAATTATCACTATTTTTGAACAAGTCCTTTAGCATAACCATCATCATCCACTGTT